ACACACAAGCAAAACATTCATGCAAAGAGAAACCATTAATTTAAAAAGGTTAGTTTCTTTGCCATATAGCATATTTATGAAATATGGGCTCATTTCTCAATTTGTCCAATAAAAGGTGACAGTGTTACAATTAACTTGAAAAGTATTTGGGTAACATCAGGAATTAATTCAGTAAGTAAACTAAGCTCTCAATATGAAAAATTACAAACTAAGATGTCTTAAAAATTTGAACAACAATATGGAAAAAGCTTCTTTGCTATGGTTTGGTTTCCTAGTTTTAGACCTCTTTTGAAAAGAGAGAAAAGGAAGGAGGAAGGGAAACCCTTATACTATTAGCCAAATTAACATTTTTCTTATTTCCATCCAGCTGGTTCTGCTATATGCTATATGGAGATTTGGTATGTTTTACACACACACACACCTACCTCTCCATAGTGGTGGTAGGAATTAAACTCAGCCCACATGGTTTAATTTTCCTAAAACCATTATCTGTCATTTGGCTCACTGTCTTGTTCTGTTTATGTGCTTTCTTTTATCTCTGTCAGTGGTTCTCAACCTTCCTAATGCCAGGGCACTTGAACACAGTTCCTCTTGCTGTGCTGACCCCCCAACCATACAATTATCTTCACTGCTGCTTCAAAACTGACTTTGCCAGCTGTAAATACCTGTGGTTTTTGATGGTCATAGGTGACTCCTGTCAAAGGTGGTTCAACCCCCCCCCCCCAAGGGTCATGACTCACTGGTTAAGAACAACTGATTTCCATGTCCTCTAGGGACATGGTATCAAAGACACTGGTATCAAAGAGTAAATGAAGCATGTATGTACCTGTTTGAGTTATTAAGATTAACACTTCTGCAAATGTGGGCATAACACACACTGTAGTATTTTCAGTACTCAATCAGCGTTCTTGTCTAAACACCTTAGCTACGTTTCTTGCACTGGGTGAAGAATTAACAATAATGCCCCGTGTTAATTTAATACAGCCGATAGTCTGATTTTGTTTATATCCTGGAAATTGCTTCTACCGGTGCTAAATTTATGAGGGTCAATGCATCAGGCAAACCCAGAGACGGCCAATACACACTCCTAAAAGCCTGGGAACCAGTCCTTTTCTTGAACCAAACTAAAATCATCCGTGTAACATGGCCATCGACCTTCTCACCCCCACCACGTTCCCAGCATTTCTAAGGCCTCAGAATATTGCAGAAAAGTGTGTATTTCAGCAGTGAGATGTAACACAGATAAATAAATGACCCAGAGACTAATACTGGGGTTCTAGCTTCAAGCTGAAGATCAGAAAAACAAAGCAGCCTGCCACTAGCTCTCACCTCAAGCTCAGGCTGAAAGAGCTGATAGATCCATAGGCAAGTCTCAAAACTGCCTCTCTGAGACCTTGCTTCTTTCTGTCTTATATACTTCCCTAAAGTTGAGATTAAAGGTGTGAGCTGTAATTCTCTTTTAGACTGATTCACTCTCATATATCCCTGGGTGTCCTTGGACTCAGAGATCCGACTCTGGCTTAATCCTGAGTCCCAGCGTTAAAGGTGTGTACCACCACCTCCTACCATCTGGCTGCCGGGATTAAAGGTGTGCCTGGCTGCTATGGCATGTGGCTGACTCTGCTTTTCCGAATCTTCCTCGGTCAAGCTTTCTTTAATAAACCATAGACAATACATCACTGTAACAAGAGAAATAACGAAACGTTCCCGGTTTCCCATCTCAGAGCCCTTTCTGCTCCCCGTTCCTGATCACACCGCACCCTGGACGCAGTCTAACCCTGCGAAGCCACCCAGTGCACCGAGCCAAGACAACGGGAGCCATCAGGCGCCCGCCTGGGCTTAGGGAATGCCCGACGACACCACAGATAACGGCCCCTGCTCCTGCGGGACAGACTCGGAGTCGGTGGCTTTCCCCTGCATCTTTCAGGACGGCCCGGCCCGCATGCTGCCCAGCGCCTCGCGGAGGGTGGGCGTCCAGCCGCGGCGAAGGGATGGAGGCCTCTCGCCCGGTCCGCCCAGTCAGCCCGTTCCCCGGTCCCCACGGCCGCCCGCCTCCTCGTCCGCCCGCTCGCGGGTTCGCCCGGCCGGCAGGTCGGCCGCCTGGTCCGCCCACAAGCCGGTTCGCCCGCCTGGTCCGCCCACTCGCCGGTTCGCCCGCCGGTTCACCCGCCCGGCCGCCCGCCGGTTCGCCCGCCCGGCCGCCCGCCGGTTCGCCCGCCCGGCCGCCCGCCGGTTCGCCCGTCCGGCCGCCCGCCGGTTCGCCCGCCCGGCCGCCCGCCCGGCCGTCCGGCCGCCCTCCGAACTCACCTCCGCGCGCCGGCCCACGTCGCCGTCCGCGGCCGTGTCGGGCCCGCGCCCCCCTGCCCCAGCCGCCGGGAACCGCCTCGAGGCGGCGGCTCGGGAATGGGCTTCGCCGCTCGGCGTCCACCAGAACCCCAGCTCGACGGAGAACCAACCACAAGCAGACGGAGCCACCAAGCGACGCTCGCTGAAAGCCGGGCAGGAGCCCCGCCGCACCTGGATGACGTCACTGCGCAGCGACAGCTGTTCCTCCGCGAGCCCTCTGCGCATGCGTATGCTCGGCGAGCCGCGGCAGCGAATGCTCGCCCGGCGCGGCCCCCCCCCCCACGTGGCCCGGTTTGAAATCGAATGCTAAGTTCAAGACAGTCGGGTGAACCCGGGGGAAACGGAGTGGTGGTTTGACTGAGGGGAGATCTGGTCTCGTGTTAAGGCAGAAGTCAGTTTATTTCTGCAAGTGTGCTAATGAGCTCAAAACTACCAAACAGGCCACTAGCCAGGGAAACACGGCGGAAATAGTTGTGCAGCGTAGACGCTGCTGTCTAGATTTGTTCCCGACCGGACTCTTAAGAGCCATTTATAAAACTTTTTTTTTTTCTATCTCAAGGACGCATGTATCATCACATAAGCATGGAAATAGTTTATAAAGCGATTGGTGATTATACTGGGGGACCTGGGATATTGACTATTTGTGGATTTCTGTCATGGTTTCCTTCAACTATTAAAAGCGGCTTCTTCGATAGAGGGTGAGAGCTCTGCTTCTTCTTTTCATATTAAAATCCTATGTAATGTAAAAAGGCATTAGGTTTTGATTTGAACTCATCTTGGAATTACCTTTGAAAATAAGCATGCCTATTGCTACCTGCTTAGTAAGCCACATATAAAATCGTTGTTCATGTATGTTTATACCCAATCACTGTCATAATACAACAGTATTATATATAATACAACATAAAGTCAAGTTAGATATGCATCGTTTTTCCTGAGACTACGTTTGTTTGCTTGTTGTATCTGTAGCTCAGTAGTTCTGGACAGGGACTTAACTTGTTTTAATCCTCCATCACCGGGCTGTAATGCATTGCTTTGCACCTAACAGTAGGTTCTATATACACGTGACAAGGTCATTCCCTAGGCAATTGTTTCTATTTAGGTGTCTTTCCTCACTGTGAAAGAACTGAGTAGTTTTCACTTTTTTTTTTTTTTTTTTTTTTTTTTTTGATAAATCTCACTTCCTCCAGTGATTGGCCACTCAAAAATCTCAACCTTCCTTATTCTTTATGTTTAAAATCGGTTCTTTACTAATTTCATACACATACATGATGTTCTTTGATCCTCTAGTCTTCCCCCATTACCCTCTTTTATTCTCTTCCTCCTTCCCCTCTTCTTCTTCTGTGTGGCCCATTGCATTTAATTAAATCTCCCAGCATACCTGAGCTTGGGTGGGGGGTTATTTACTTCTCTTCCTCCAGCAACCACTTAGTGCCTATAGCTTGTTGAGAACTATACTTACCTGCAAATGATTTCATCTTTCTGTACAGTGGAATATTATTCCATTATGCACGTGCACCACATTTGTGTTATTCCTCCATCAGCTGAAGGGCATTTAGGTTGTTTACATTCATTAGCTGTTCTGACTAGAGCAGCATCTGTGTAGAATGATGTTAAGTACTCTGGCCATGGACAGAGTTGTGGAGATAGGTCATCGCGTAGATTTTGGAGCAATATTGGCTATGCATGGTTTCTGGTATATGGTCCCCAGTTGGTAGAACTGTTTGTTAAGGGCTAGGAGGGGTTACTTTATATCACTGGGGGTGGTCTCTGAGGTTTCAATAGCACACATTTTTCCCAGTTAGATCTCTCTGCCTCATGTTTATTAACCAGATGTAACCTCTGAATTACTGCTCGTCAGTGCCTGCCTGCCTGCCACACTCCCCACCCTGATGTCATGGACTCACCCTCTGTAAGCCCCAATAAACTCTTTTCTATAAGTGGCCTTGGTCTTGGTATCTATCCTAGCACAGCAACAGAAAAGTAACTAAGATAAGTGCTGTTTTCTCCTCCCCTGTATGGGTGATTGTGAAAGTCACTTGAAGCAAGTACACTCATTGTCTGTATTGTACTCTTAGAGGAACAAAAGCCCATGAAACTGAACCACACGTGATTATGTCTAGTACACAATGCAGGAGAATCCTGTGTGGTATATCCCTGTACAGTATGCCTACTGAGTGTCAGCTGTCAGGTCTAAAAGTTTGTCCTTACCCTGGACTCAAGAAGACTTGCTATGTTTACTATTAGTACAAAAGGATTACTACTATTATCAGAGGATGGAATAAATCTGAATTGTGCATGGCACATCATTTCTCAAGTGTTCTAGCAGCCAATAATATGAACAGTGTACTAACACACCCTTTACTGACATTTTCTCTGTTCTGTCTCTCTCACTCTGCCATTCCTATCACCTATATGTCCCAAATGGTCCCCTGTTCTGGAGGCTTTGTCCCTGGTTTTACATCATGAGTAAAGAAAAGAAAGACTATGTATGATGGGTTTGTTGGGAGTCTAAAAATGTATGTTTAGTGTAAAAAGCATATAAATGTGTTACTTGTGTTCTTACTGGAACACAAAAGAAGGAACTCTTCCAGGGTCTAGGCCATGATAAAAGGCAACCTTATATGGAAGCAGACATTTTTTTTATACCTTGGTACCATGTCAAGTCTTTATTAAGTAATGTACACATCATTACAGTTAGGAAATTCTTGATTGTCAGAAGAACCTTGGATATATAATATCTTAATCATACCCATTACAAAGGAGAGGATAACAGAAAAGAGATTAGGACTGAATTTCCCAGTACCAAAGTAGAAAAATACATGAAAGTATATGTGAAAGAGAAGAAGAAAAATAATTCTGCAAAATTTTACAAGTTAAATGAAAAACAGTATAATAAGAAGCATCATAAAAAGATGTTGTCGTGACCATAACAGATATATGGCACATGGTCGATACACATGGATACCACATAATGAATGCACTTCAAGTTGAAGTTTGTTTACTTGTAACAACATGATACACATATATAAATACATACACACAATACCCCTGGTTTGCAAACTTCAATACCTAGGAAGAATGAAATTAGTGTACCATAAGATAGACATGGAGCCTTCAAAGTTAAGGAAACTCAACGTGCTCCTCTTCTGTAGAAGCCGCTAGAAAGGCCAGTCTGCCCAGTAACTTGTTGGAGATTTGGTGTATTCTATAAAGTCAATGAATACTGGAGTTTTAAAGAACTGCACTAAAGCCAAGGACACCCCTCTACCTGTTCTCTACCTGCTGCTGGTTGCTGACTGGCTTGGATTTGTTTCCTTGGCTCTCAAAAGTCTCGGTTACTCAGCATTTTTTAAAAGGCCTGGATACTCAGTACTTTAAAAAGAAACATCATTTTAGTCTGGTGTGATTACACATGGCCTTTATCCCAAGATATAGGCGGCAGAGAGTAGGTGGATCTCCATGAGTCGGAGGCCTGCCTAGTTTACACATTTTGTTCCAGGCCAGCCAGTATTATACCGTGAGGCCCTGTCTTTAACAGCAATATATATTGAGAAATAGATTTCTCCCAGAAATTTAGTGAGATCCTCACCTAATGAAAACCATTGCTGATATGCAACTTTTAGCTGATTCTAATAATGGATAACCCCTTAACCCTAGATGCCCCTTACACAAAACTGAACTAAATTGGCATTATACGTTTTCATTCTGAAATATAATATGAACATTTGAAAATTATGTTCTAGATAAAAACATAAGCCAACCTTTACTTTTACAGAGCTTTTATGCACTTCAAAACATCCTTTGAAATACTCCTTCACATGCATATATTTGCTGAATCAGTAAGTTTGTCTTATTCTTTAGTTACTTTAATATTATATTCAGTTGTAAATGAGACACGTGGGAAAGAAAAATGGAGAAATTCCTATGCTAACAAAGAACTTAAAAGTCAAATTTAGGGACAGATTAAGGCCCTTTTTCCAATTCTCCTACATATTTCCTTATCATTTATCTTTTCTTACCCAATGTCCAATAAAAGCTAAATAATACAAAAAAGAAAAGATATGTTTAGTTCCACAAACTGAGACATTAATAGCAACAAGGGACAGCACGTTTCAACAATGGCTAAATATCCATGCTCTGCTTTGGAGTTCTTTCCTGCTTCGTTTTTTAGAAAAGTTCACCCCAGATAGGTTGGTGAAGTAAGACTCCTTTCTTAGAAGGAAGTTTGCAATAAGCTCCCAAGTGACATCTGACTGGAAAGAAATGCTTGGTTTTCCTTAATGAATTGTACAGGACTGCCACTGCTGACTGGACATGAGCACAGAACAGCTTTTACAGGCTCATTGTCACCTGAAGACGGGCGGAGAAGCAACCGGGTGTACTTTCAAAATTTTTTTTGTTTTGTTTTCTGAACTCAATATTTACATCTAGATTTCTCATATGAGAAAAAGTAAGACAATCCTTCTGGAACCTTGGGTAAAGTTTACGTAAAATAAATTAAAGTGCAGAAAATTATAACAGCATCAAATGTAGCTGGGCGTAGAAATACTGTAACTCACTGCCATACTGGACAACCATGTCTCACATCTCAGGAACACACACACAAACACTCGTGGATTATTACACATGGACATTGGCGCTTCCGTTTCCACCCCCTTCCAGGCCCTCGGCAGACTGGGAGGAAGGAGGCCTGGAACTTCTGGGGTGAGGCTGACCATTGAGTCCTACTTGTGTGCCTAGACCATGACCTGTCTGGGATGTTGCATCATCCGATTCCCAGCGTTCCAACTCTTCCCTTACCAGGCGCTCCATCTGCTCCCTGTGGACTTCACTGTCTCGACCCAGTCTCTCATCCTAACAAGGAAATTAAAGAAATAGCAGAAACCAGGGTACTGCATGCTATATGTTACATATTCTACAATTAAACAGAGTTAGGAATTTTAGGTGTTCACTTAATTGTATCATCCATTGTTGGTAGCACCCTCAGAGGAGGAAGTATCAAGAATCATGCCTCCAGGTTATCATTTGATCTAAGGTTATATAAGAAGGAGGACAGCATCAGGTTAGGAGTTACAAAATGGGACACTACCTCTGTGCTCTATAGAACTAAAGAATGTTTCTGCTCAATGAAAATAAAAGTGAACAGAAACAATATTTGTGAATGACAAGTGTTATGGGTGTCCATTTCTATCAATAAATATCTTGTCTACCAGTCAGTTTAAGCTCATGACCACTCACCTCAGCCACTCCATCCAGCAGTCTCCCTAACACCTCTCGCCTCTTCAGCTTGGCCCTCTCCATGATCTCAAGCTTGACAATCACAGCATCAATCTTAGACACGATGCTGCCTATGGAATGCTCCATGCGGTCCACGCGCCTCACCAGTCTGCAGGGGACGACAGGAGGCACAGCTGGTCACATCTGTGTCCTTAAGCCCACATGACTCATCCATCAAACACCAAGATAACGTGATAATAGGAAGCATTTTCTAAGTGTTTGCAAGACTTAGAGACAAACTATTATTATAGGCTGCTTGTGAGAACGGTAGCCCCCATCTTCATAAAAATAAAATTGTGTCTGAAGCTTTAAAAGCCTTCCTTCACAAGCACCATCTTTAGGAAAAATTCTAAAGGAAATTTCATATGTGTAATTTTGTGTTACAAATTTATTCACATGCACGGAGTTCCTTTTTTAATAGCATAAAAGTGGCTATGCTAAACAACCAATAGGAGATCATGCAAATAAAATATAATTCACCTAAGCAATAGCTGCCTAAGGCGACACCAGAAATTGCACTGCATCATGTTTCCTGAAATAGAATTATACGCAAATAAAACTGTTAAAAAAAATGTGCTCTTTTAACGTCTCATTATTTTGAATAAAAATATTTAAATGCCTTAAAACATGTCAAATGTCAACAATTTGAATTCTCCCTCCCTGGCCCCTCTCCATGTGGTCCTAGTGACTGAAGGACATTGTACATAGCAGGTCAGTGTTCAGCCACCTACTGTATGCCCTGGAGACAACTTCTGAAATGACAGTACAAGAATACTAACAAGGGCCAGGCTGTGGTGGCGCACACCTTTAGTCCCAGCACTCGGGAAGCAGAGGCAGGTGGATCTCTGAGTTCTAGGCCATCCTGGTCTACAGAGAAACTCTGTCTTTGGGGAGAAAAAAAAAAAAACAAGGGCCAGGCTGTGGTGTGATACACCTTTAATCTCCCCAAAGACAGGCTGTGGTGTGATACACCTTTAATCCTAGAGGCAGGCAGATCTTTGTGAGTTCCAGGGCAGCCTGGTCTACAGAGTGAGTTCCAGGACAGCCAAGGATATCATAAGGAGAACCCTGTCTCGAACCTCCCCAAAAAAGGATGCTAACAAGGATAGTTGTTGTAAAATTTTTTAAACCTCAGTCCTTTTAAAGGTCTAAAAAACTTACAAACATATGACATATGAAAATCATTTATCAAAAAGACAACTAAAGAAAAGTAAGAATAATGTATCTATTATTTGAATAATAGTTTCCCCAGCTTTAATGAGAAACACTGCAAATTCAAAACATGCTTAAAACTGCAAGTAGGATAAACTAGGCATACACAGTGAAGTTATAGAAAGATAAAAACAAAAGAAATGAAAGAATCAGGAGAAACATTGGTTTATAATGTACAAAGAATGCCATCAAGCTACATTCTTATGAGAAAAGCAACACATCACACATCTATTGAGACTTATTACAAGCGTGTATGCACCTAAAAGCTTCAAATTACACTGAAGATACCTTTCTAGAATTAAAGGGAGAAGTGAATAATTTACTAATAATACAGATGTGATGTTATTACCTCGCTTTCAAAAGCAGATAGAAGTCAACATGCATAAAATCAACAGGGAAGCAGGAGACAGCAACTGACAGGCATCTATAGAAAACTAAGCAGCAGCAGAATGAACATTCTCCTCAAGGACAGACTGTGTTAGGCCCTAGGACATGTAAAACACCAACACATACATATAAACGGAGAACACAGACTCTAAAATTTGCTAAGATCTCTTGGTTGGAAGGAACAGAAAGGATATTAATCTATTCCTGTCTCAAAATTTCTTATAATGAAGATCTTTTATTTAAAAAAAAAAATGCTCTTCAAACTTATTTGAAAGAAATGATATTAGTCATGAAAAGAAGTAAATGTCTAGCTCCATGAGATGCCGTGTCATCTCGTTTTGACCCTGGTCAGCACAAAACTGGGAAGAGTGTTTGTACTTACACCTGGAACTCCTCATAGGAAACCCCACTGGAGATGCTGCCCCTCCTCCTGGAGCTATGCCCACTGTCATCGTCATCCTCCTCCTCAGAGTCATCCAGGCTTCTTGGGAAACTTCTACTACTCATGGGACGTGGTAAAGAGCTGTGTTCCAAGTCCAGGTCCTCCTGAAGAATATGGAGACTTCCAATGAGGGGCTGTCACACCAAGACCTCACAAAAAATCTCATCCAGGTCTTGGGCCAGGGGAAAACGGGCGTTCTCCAGATTGGTTCTCTACAGTTTTGAATTCATGGATTGGTATTTTAAAGCAAGAATTGACAAGGTGAAGTTGCAGAGAGGGAGGAATGATGAGCAAAAGGGTCAAGACCAGGCTGGGGAAACAAAAACAGCTGACCTGAACAAGGGGGAGCTCAGGGACCCCAGTCTGATAGCTGGGAAACCAACATAGGACTGACCCAACCCCCCTGCACATGGGTGTTAGAGGAGAACTGGGCAGTCTATGAGGCCTCTGGTAGTGGGTCAGTATTTATCCCTAGTATATGAAGGGACTTTGGGAGCCCATTCTACACAGAGGGATACTCTCTCAGCCTAGACAGATGGGAGAGGGCCTAGGCCCAGCTCCAAATTATATGACAGATTTCGAAGATTCCCCATGGAAGGCTTCACCCTCCCTAGGGAGCACAAAGAGGATGGGATGGGGGTTGGGAGGGGGACTGTGGAGGAGGAGAGGGAGAGGGAACTGGGATTAACATGTGAAACAAACTTGTTTCAAATTTAAAATTTAAAAAATTACATATATAAAAGAATTGACAAGATGAATAAGCAGGCTACCAATGTGTAGGTTGAGGGTGTGGGGAGAGAGGAAAATGAGGGAAAGGAATAATTAAATAATATATGGGGGCAATGAGTTCAGACACCCCTAAAGCACTCACCCTCTCTTTCTCCAAATCATCTCTCATCTGTTGATGCTCACGTTCCGTCAGTTCCTGATCGCCATCCTGGTCATATTTAGTGAATATGGCCTCAATTTCTGCATCAGTGTGGCCTTTCCTGAAAGCGTTCAGAGGGTCGAGGTGAATTTATTCAGTACACGGTCCAGCCTGAGCCCTGAAACATCAGGATGCAGGAAGGAGAGAGAGAGCAAATTCCAGAAAAGTACCAGCTTTCCCAAATGAAAACCAGTGCTCGGGGTAGAAGCACCCTCTCTCCAGCAAGGGTTAGCATGTACAATAGGCACTCCCAAGTTCTAGCAGTGCGGCCCTCACCCTTTCAGGTCCTGTCGAAGCTCATCAAAGTTTAACTTGCCCCCACCTTGCCGTAGACTCTCTGAAATATCATCTACAGTATTCCTTTTAAGTTTTAGTTTGATCAATGCTTTTTGGTAGCCCTATTGAAAAGAAAAGAAAAAAACAAGAGACATGATTTTCTTTACTCTCTTTTTGAATTTTTTCTTTCAGTTACAGTGAAACTATGAAAATTCAGTACTTGGAAGAAGATGGTAATTCAAAAAAATATATATTGGTGAATGAGTAGTGAATGTAATCTCAGTTTTCTATAAAAACTTTTTAGAAAGTTCAGTATCTTTCCATAAATCAGGAACTAAGGACTTCTATAATTTAGATATGTATGTTTGTATTTCAAATGTAAACCTCTATGAATTCCATAGCTGTTTATTCTGCAGAATACAAGGGAGTGTGAAGCAGCCTGCCTGACTGATGCCATACTCCCCACAAAGATGGTCATGGACTCAGCCTCTGAAACTCTAAGCAAGGCCCTACTAACAGCTTTTCTGCCTTGGTCATGATATCTCTTCACTGTAGTGGGATATTCACTTTGTCTCCTTCTGTGGCATTGACCACGCCCATTGGGGGGTGGAGCCATGGGCGGAAGTGACCTGTGGAAGGAGGTCGGAGGGGGCCAGGAAAGGCTCTCTCTTTCTGGCGTGATTCGGACAGGAGAGGATCGGGTTGAATTTCCTGGTGTTCATCTGTCTAGGTTGTAAGTTATTTCTCCCTGAATAAACATCTATTCGGCCTATTTGTTTATCCTGATCCTTATTTACCGCAATACTTCACTGTAACAGAAATGTAACTAAGACATCCTCTTAAGAGTTACTTTATCATGACATTTATTTGAAAGCATCATTTTCCCAACATATTTTCAGTACGATGTGTATTATTTATTTTGTGATAAACTAATCTTAACTAAATGGTTTTGGCTGTTTATTTGGATCCTTCAAAGGGTGGCTATGACTACCTTCCCACAGTAAAGTATTTCTTCTACCAACCTCGTTTCTTTATGGCATTGTTTCTCTGCTGTATTTTTATCTTTGGGGGCCCATTCTCTGCCAGGCTTTTCATTTTTTAAAAAATTAATTTTTTATTTATGTGTGTGCATGCACATGTGTATGTATGCACAGCTGCCTGTGGGTGCTCATAGAGGCTAGAGGAGGGTGTCAAAGTCCCTGAAGGGAAGTTACAGTCAGTCGGGAGCTTCCATGGGGTTCCAGGAGCCAAAAGCCAATCCTCTGAAAAAGCAAGTGTTCTTAACCCCCGAGCCACCTCTTTAGCTCCCTAAGCATGTATGTATGTATGTATGTATGTATGTATAGAATATGTATGTATGTATTATACACACACATACATATAAACATGCACTTGTCAGGGACACCAGAAAGCAACACTCCAAGCTTTGTGATATGTGAATTTGTCCCATGGCCAAGCAGCAATGGAAGGAAGGATCACAACCTGGCCATTGAAGAGGACCAAATGGCTAACAGTGGAGTCTGAACTCTGCACCATTTCCCCACTAACAGTGGAGTCTGAACTCTGCACCATTTCCCACAATATTTTGTGACAAAACTAATCTGAACCCTGTGGTTGTGGGCCTAATGTTATGCAATAATGTGGTAAGTGAACTTCATGGACTATGGAGACTGCAGTGTGAAGTGCCAACGTCCACACTAAAAAGTCTCAAGACACCATCAATTTTGACAACCGAGTGTGTCCTGTGCACTTATCTATTTTTATGTAAGTCTTAGTCTTTTTTTTTTTCCCCTTTTGGTTGTTGTTTTATGTTTGTTTGTTTGTTTGATTGATTGCTTTTTGTTTTGTTTTGGAAAAGTGCTTTAATGAATTAGACAAAATTTCACATAAAATAAAAAACCTATGATCCATCCCTTCTCCAGTCACTAAAAAAATGCAAGGCAAAGGAAGGTACAGTGAGAAGAACAAAGCCCTTCCCCACCCTTCCCCTCTAGTTAACAGTACAATTACACATTTATTGAGAAGGTGTGGAAGAAGTTCTCAGGCTCCCAAACTGTAGCTTCCATCGAGGAAACTTTTCTTTCAGTTGTCTATAGAGAAAGAATAGAGATGAAAGGAAAGTGACTGCCCTCCTTTTATCTTAGCTGAAATGGTAACTGAGAGAGCAGGGTGGAAATAGATACCCTCCCCTCTTTCAGTCTGCTGTGGACTCAGGACTCTGGGGCACTGGGTAATTAAGAAACAAAAAGATCATCTTAAGACTGAATTCAGACCACAAAAGGATCCTCAGAATTTAAGTCCTAGCCTATCTGTTAAGCCTCCCACCAAAGAAAACATTGACATTATTTCTGAAATAAAGTGATCTACCCTTCAAGCAATTTCAGGGAATCGGCGTTGGTTTGGTAAGCTAGTTAAAATAACATTCCTTTATATGGAGGAAAAAAACCTGGGAATTAGGGTTTAGCCTATAACATTCCTTTATATATAGGAAAACCCTGGGAGTTAGGGCATAGCCTATAATGTTCCTTTATATGTAGGGAAAACCTGGGAGTTAGGGTGTAGCCCACCTTTTTGATAAGGTCTGAGAGTTCCATTTCCGATTTCTGCTGGGCCAGATCCGATTTCACTTCAGAGTAAGTATCATTGATGATGGCCAAAAACATATTCTGTTTGTAAAAACAGAGGGTGAAACTCAAATAGGTTTTGAAAGCAATGTAAACACGCATGCCTATTTTTTCACCTTTTATTTTTTTAACAAATATGAATTATCGTGGTCACTAATTAAATTTTACTCTCACGCTCTTTGAAGCAGTGTTTCTCCATTAAGTCATACCAAAGGGAGTCTTACTTATAAAACCATGCTGTGCTGGCTAGCAATTGTCTGCTTGACATATACTAGAGTCATTGGGAAAGAGGGAACCTCAGCTGAAAAATTGGCTCCATCAGTTGGGCCTGTAGATGAGCCTGTGGGGACATTGTCTTAATTGGTGGCTGGTGTGAGCAGGAAGTGGCCAGAACTGCCTCTGGGCAGGTGGTCCTGGGCTGTATATGCAAGTAAGTAGAAGAAGCCATGTGAAGAAGTCAGCAAACAGCACAGGTCTCTGCATCATTCCGTTCCTGCCTGGGGTTCTGGCCTTGATCTCCTGCACTGCCTGTCTTCAATGATGGGCTGTCACATGTAAGGCAGATAAACCTTTTCCTCCTCATGTTTCTCTTGGTCAAAATGTTTTATAACTAAAGTTAGAACACATTTTTTGTCATATTTGCAAAGAGACAACAAAAAGCTACAAAGTATTAATGCATTTATGTACAGATATACATAAACAGTTGCTGTTTACTTTTAAAACATTAAATTACTATGTAGAAATCTAATGAGCTCTCCAAGTTTTAACAACCAGCTTAATTCAACTTTTTCCAAATCTGTCATATGCGCATATGAGGTACACAGAAAATATCTTAAAGAATTGAAATGACTTCGGAAATAGGCACAGAATTAAGTCTATCAAACTTGGGTTCTTGTCTCAAGGGACTGGAGAGAGATTTGGAATCAAAGGAAAAGAGGAAACAGCAACACCACTCAGGAAGGAATGCAGAAGACAAACAAACCCCACAAAGTTTACCTCCTGCTACTTGTCATAGCTGGGCTCAACAGCCAAATGGCTGTGAGTCAAAACAACTTCAACTGCAGCCATCTCGTCAGACCTTCCAACCTGAACCCTCACAACAAAGAAACGAAACACCGCTTGCCTAGTCAGCTGAACCTTGTGCTATGTAACTAGAATCACAAGCCGCAGGTTCATCTAAAACCTGGGGGGAAAGCCTGTAACGTGGGACTCTCAGGAAACCTGCACCCACTCTTCAGATGGACACTTTCCTTCTGTAATAAACTTCCACATTGCCCCTCACTTGTATCTCTTTCTTGGCAGAGACAAGAAGCAGGATACAGGCAGTCTAATCCAGCTTTCACCTCCAACAAACACAGCATGGCCCACATGTGTTGCCTGACCTGTGTACATGTGTTGTGGTAAATACATATGTGTGTGATGTGTGCACCAATAAGTGCACACTCAAAGGCCAAAGCAAGTGTCTTTTCTATCGTCTCTGCCTCATTGGCGTGAGGCTCGTTCATCCGCTGAGTTGGCTGACCAGCAAGATCCAGGAACCCACTTGTCAATACGGCCTCCAGGTGCCCAGAAGGTGAAAGGTGTTGTGCCGGCACATACATAGCCATTTCTGGCATTTTACTTGACTGGGCGAGATGCTAACTCAGGGTCTCATGTTCGCAGAATATCATTCTTACCCAACCAGCCATCTCCTAAGAACCTGTTTGACTTTTTAAAAATATAATTGCCTCTTTGATTTCTTTTTCTTTTTCTTTTTTGCTTTTTAAAACAGTGCCTCTCTTACATGTGTACTGGCCGGCATCAAACTCACAAATACCCACCTGCCCCTGCCCCTGCCTCCAAGTGCCAGGATCATTTGGCCTACTTATTTGAAGAATTTGTTTAGCAATTCTTTTCTCTTTATGTACGTGTTGGGAGGGGGCCCAGGTGTGCTCACCCATACAGGTATGTGTGGCAGCCATAAGGATGCCTTCCCAACTCACTTCTCCTTCACCTTATGCATCATTCAGGGTCTCTCACCTGGACCAGAGCTCCCTGGGTAGTCTATCTAGTCACCTAGCCAATGTGTTCAAGGGATCCTGAATCCACCTCCTTGAGCTCTGGGGCTATAGGCTGGCTGCCATCTCTGAATCATAGGTATGGGGGGCTGGGAATCTGAACTTGGTTCCGCAGGCTTGAACAGCAAGCACTTTACACAATGAACCAGTTCCCTAGCTAGCTTCTGGTTTTGCATGTATAAAATGGCAAAGGTAACAGTGTCCCCCTCAAAAGCTGCTTGTGCTGGGTAGAGATAATCTTACAGGGCTCAGGACAGTTCCTGACCATGACAGGTCTGTGTGCTAATCATCATAGCTGCTGTCACTCACCAATATCAGTTACTTTTCTCAACATTTCCCCTTCCCAGTCCTAATTAATATTCCCAGGAGTTTGCAATACTCTTTCTCAAAGAACTGTACCTACTAAATCAGACGCACCACCTGCATGCCATTTGTTTGTGTCTGGTAGCTGGCCAATAGCTGCACAGGTATGTTTAATATGTCTGCTTTCACCACAAAACCATAGAATCAGAGGAAGTCCAAGTTCTATTTTCCTTTTCACAACTCCCTTAACTGTATAAGATGCCACGGAACGCACAAACACTATAGTTTATACTACATTTTACATACAATATCTGTATAAAAATAGAGCGACTCAAGCAATATTTACCCAGTGACTGACAAATGGGAACCAAGACTCTTACTTTAGTGGAGAATTATAAAGACTATTAAGAATGGACACCAGGTAAAACAGAACATAAACCCACAAGTGTGTGCTCCATTCTGAGCACAGATAATTTCAGTTCAAATGAGGCCTTTGATTTTTTTTTTTCCTCTCCTCACCCACACGCCTAACACTCTATTTTTGCTTACATGCTTAAATTATGGCTGCATATATTTTAGTCAAAGCGAATTAAAGTGTAGATTCTGTGAGATTCCTGGTAAGTAGACACAGACGGTAGCTGATAAAGGCTTTTCTGAGGCAGTCTTAACAAGCATGGAGAATTCTTCCATGCTGAGAGAACCACAGCGCCTGGACTGTAGGTGGCATTGTCTACTGCAGCACAATTACCAAGTTCCCATCTGAGCATGTCAGTCACAATGTGTCCTCACAGGACAACCGAAGGGTCTGCTGCAGGATGCATATCATGCTTTTAAAAATCTTACCAGAGAGCCCGGTCCCAGAACCCAAAGCACTACCCACCTTAGAGGGGAACAAAAAATATCCCTAGTCTGTAGCACGAAAAGGTCAATTAATGAATTAAGTTAAAATCTGGCCACTATACTGGCAAAAAGGCAGAGTATGAATGAATGGACTTTGCGGGACCATGGTGCCCCCTTTGTTCCATTAGTGATTATCTAATATTTAATGAACACCATCTGCCAAAACAGGGATACCCGGGTAGACTTGGGAGGCAAGACACCAAGTTACTGAATATAAGCATTCAACTTCCAGAAGGGAAAATCTGAAGAGATGATAGTGTATCTTCTCTGTCAATCAAGCTAAATTTATTTCAGACTTTTTCACCAGGCAGGTAGAATGTATCTTTCTAGCAGTCTGTGAGCTGTGAGAAAGTTGAAATATTATCCTAGCCATGACTTGTGATAATTCACCCAGCTATGACTCCTGACATCCTATATTTCTAAGTTACACAGTAAGCTCCTATTTTCTCAAAGAAAAGGGAGGAATTGCAAGTCATACTAGCAAGTGACTAAGAAGGCAGTGACACTGTGTTGAATTAGCAGGCAAACACGACCTACTGCTGAGGCAAAGTGCCACCTAGGAACTTGATAAATCCTTACTTGCTGTAATTATATTTATAGTGCCCAGACACACATATATAGAGACTGAAAGGCCACAGGAAAAACACATCATTGTCTGAAAACTATAATGGAAATGGAAATACGTTTTCAAGAGTCATCATCTCTTTTCTGTTTTCCATGTGTTATTTAAAACGATGGCTGATCAAGCATGAGAGAAGAGAGATGGTGGTGATTTAGGAGCACAAAGTTTAAATCACCTCACTGTAAAATAAAATAAAATAAATATACATACCAAAAGAATGAAGAACATAAAGAACACAAATGTAGTGAAATAAAGTGGTCCCAAAACCCGGTTAGCTTCCTCAATCTCCGCGAAGTTGATGTCACCCAAAATGATTCGAAACTGAGTGAAGCTATAAAAACAAAAGAAAACACAACACAAAACCAAACAGCTTCCAGCTGTGGACGCATATTTATTAAAGATGATTTCATATGTTGGGACAACTTGGGAAGTTTGAGATCACTGCCGAGAAATTGAAAACTGTCTTGTTACTTGTACTGTTCACTGATGATGCCTTTTAGAATAACATTGTTTCCTATTATATATGTCATTTCTATTTAACAGTAAATCTGATTATTAGATGATTTGTAACTCAAATGCTTATAATAATCATGCTTGGTCTGAAGTTAAAATATCTTTAAATAAAAACAATGACAAAACACATATTGAAAGATGGTCAAAATTGTAGAGTTCAAAGATCCAGCATTCTCAGTCATGCAAAGTGAGATCACAGTAGCTAGACATAGTCAGTGACCTCACTTCCTCCCCTGACTTTCATTGATGCCTAGATTAACCAGGATCTCCACCCACAAAACGACACGAACTCTATTATTATGATTGGCCCTTTCCCTCACTACCTAGTAACTTCGTGAACATCACACAATTCAGAATACAGTGGGGACATCAGAAAGACTGAAGATTTGTGAAGTGCTTTTAGTTTCTTCTACAATGTTAGAAATATGTTTTATCTCTTAGAAGTTGAAATTTAAGACACAAGGCAACACTAATTCAAGAGGAATAAGAATGTAGGCAAATGACTCCTTATGTAGGTGGAGGGGGTGGGAGGACAGAGCCCTGGGCTGGAACCCAGGGCTAAAGTGCGCCATTCATGTGTACCTCCCCTGCAAATGGCCAGTTAAAACTCCCACCTGGGCTGCATGCCGAGAAGACCTTGATCTTTGGAAAAGTGCTGTCTTTCTATGGAGTTCCAGTCTGCCTCACTACTTGAAAGCTGCTTCCCTAAGAGTCAACATTTCCAAACATCATGTTTCCTTTGCTGGGACAATATTTGTAGAAGAAATAATTCTATCTGTCTTTATTTTTAACATTCGCTAGTCAAATAATGACAAGAATATTAGTTTTACTCTTAGGAATGCTGTGACATTTCTTAAATTAGTTTATTTTAAAGTAAAATTTAAAAATACTATTTGACAATTTGATGCATTTATAGAAAGCAAGCTTTTCTATTTCACATCACAGATACTTACATACATTCTTGGAAAGTACTGAAGTCATCAACCTGAGTGCCAAAGACAAGGTATGCCAGCTGAGCGTACGCCAGGAAAATGACGAGGAACATAACGGTGAAACCAAAGAGGTCTTTGGCACATCTAGACATGGTTGTGGTGAGCTGGCTCATGGTCCTGTTAAAGCTGATGAATTTGAAGAGCTGTGGAAAAGAGACACCATCAGTAGATAAATGTATGATACAATGTGCACCACATACACAGTGGAACTATTCTACTGTAAGAGGGGATGGGAATTTGTTATTTGTTATTATATCAACTTTAAGAGCATGCTAAGTGAAATAAGGCAGATGCAAAACCTCAAATGTTGTATGCCTCCATCTATCTGAGGCATAGCCAAACTCACTGGGACAGGAAATACAGAGGAAAGTTGACAAGTCAGGATATAGCATTTCCTGTTGGTGATGTCCATTAGTGATAGATACAACACCATGCAGTGTACCTCATGCTTCTGAAGTATGCATATAAAGTGATGAAAATGGTATTGTGCAATTTATATTTATCATAGTAGAGAAAATAAGTGAGAAATTATTGATGTTTTGTCTCTTTCAAGTCTAGGAATGATGCAAACTATGCAACAACCTTAGCTGGCCATGTCAACCTCGCCAAAAAGGTAAATCCATGTCTTCCAATGGCCTGTGAGATTTATGTTAATGAGTACATATATAGTAAAACAAAGAATGCGACATAACTTACCTTAATCCAGACCAAAAATACCATGACCGCAGCTATATTGTTGAACTGTATTTGCCAGTATGCCACATGCTCAAAGTTGGGGAAAGTATTTTGATCCTCGAGAAACTGTAGTAGACCCTCTACATTTGACATTCGGTAAATGTTAATGACCATAGCTACTATGGATAACTGGAAGACACAAGATTTATATTTATTTTGTCACTTTAGAAATAGATAATCCGCCTTAAAGTGACTAGTTTTCCCTATTGATGTGTGGATTGGAGGACTGACTGTATTACTCACCCAATAGCACTCATCAAAGTCATCAGCTAAAATATGAAGACAATATACAGCCTATATTCCCTTAGGGACAGAACAACTGAAAACACATGCAGGTGTGTACATGTATGTACACAGAGGAGATCATACAGAAATAAGCTCACATGCAAAAGGGAAGGCCTTCTGCCAGCTGCCCATCACAGCTAAAGAAGCAGGCTCACAACCCCGTTTTTCATGCAGGAAGGCTTCATGAGTCCTATAGCTTCTCCTGCTGGTGTACAGATTTTCTTTGTACTCTTGGATACTCTGAAAATGTCAGCTGGGAGGGACGAAGGAGCCCTTTTGTTGTTTCAGCAAATCCAATAATCTTTTATCCAAATCTCAGCTAAATTACCATCTAGTCAAGATGTTTTAATACAAACAAACCAGTATCACATTAACACATTGACTTTCCTTGACTTCCCTATTCCAAAATAGGGATAAAGAGAAGAGAGATGTTTTGTGAGTATTCATATTGTTAAATCACTTCTATTTTTTTTTTTTTGCAATTCTTATTTCTATCTACAAAAGACCTTCTTCTCCAAACCAGAACATGACCTTTAGGAGGACAGAGGGTTGGCTATATGTATATCCCTGTATCTTTAAGGCCTGGAGTACAGCTCAATATGCAGTAGGGTAGCTTTGCTAAATAGATGACTGATTTTCACTTAGTGAAGCTAAGCCATTGACATTATTTGAATTTAGCCTTCTAAAGTTTATTTTTTTCCCAGTAATTCTGAAAGATGATTGGCTAGGACAAACGGCTGACTAGCTGACTAGCACAAGCCTGGAGGCTTTAGTGTATTTGCCAGAGAAACATAACTGGAAAACATAGGGGACAAATCAACATGATTCCCAGATACTGGGTTCTTTTTAGGTGGACTTAAATTTCATCTGGATAAAACAAACACCCTGGTCTTCTTTCAGAGCTTTCCTGACCCAGGGGAAGAAGGTCAGGGGAAGGTCAGGGAAAGGAGGTCAGGGGAAGGAGGTGCACTAGCAAGGCTGCCATTCCCTCTACATAGGCAGCAAATCTTCCAAAAGAGACATGCATGCTCTCGATAAGAGCCCAAGTATCTAAACTGAGTCCTGGAAGCAATTAGGTTAAAGTAAAAATTAAAAGCTGGAGAAAATAAGCCTTCAAAGAGATGCTCACACAATGCTACTGCTGTGGGGCAAAAAAAAAAAAAAAAAAAAAAAAAAAAGCTTGATAGGAAATATGAACACACGATGACATGTGGCATAGCTGTGGCAAAAGGATATTTACATCTGACAATTAATGACAATTAGGCACACAGTTATGAAGTTAAAAATATAAGAAGACAAAAGTTGATATACTATTAAAAAAGGAAAAACTTAGAAAAATGAATTTTTACATTGAGGGCTCTGCAAGAAAGCAATGGATATGAAAGCAATGGATATGACTGATGGATACGGTTTAAATTTTAAATTTTGTTTCCTCTAGATTGTGTGAAAGGAGTTCCAAACTACAGGATGCTTTCTCCATTACACAAAAATGTTCAGGCTGCTTCTTCTTGTCATAATTTGATACTTGCAAAAACGAAAAAACAAAAAAAAAATTTTTTTTCACTAGCAGAAAAAGGAAAAAGTATTATTACAAAAACTACCCCCATAGTTTTAGCCTACAAATTTTATATGACATACCAAATTAATTTAACTAGTTAATTGTGTGATTATGTCAGAACTCAATAAAAAAAATCCAGGAAGGTTTCTCATACAAAGTGAGAAATAAGAAAGTGTTAACACAGAAGTTGATATAAAAAAGTTTTAGATTTTTTACTAGGATTATCGAGATCCCCAACACTGAGATTAAAGACTGCAAATTGACAAGCTTTTAGAATACAGACAGGAGATGAGAGAGACAGCAGGGGGCTAGAATACAGAGAGGATGACACAGCAGCACTATCGGTATGTCTCTCCAACCTACCACAACAATCCCAACATCCAGACAATTCCAGAAACTCCTGAAATAGTGCAGTCTGTGAATCCGAATCTCCAATATCTCTTCCACCACATAGTAAAGGATAAAGAAACAAAAGATAATCTCACAGGCTGCCAGGAAGAAATCAAAAGCTGTGACGTAGCGGATCAGTTTCACAGGCTGAAACTGCCAAGAGGGCACCACACCACCTGTCGCTGGGAACTCAACCAGTAACCTGCATTGAAAAAGAACAATTGAAGTAACAATGTGTGATGGAGTCAGGAAAGGAGGTAAGTTCTGTTCCTGTAGTAGGAGGTGAAAACCACTCCTGAGGATGGAAACAGTGCATGCACTTTGTAACTATGAAACATTTATTCAGCAACTATGTAACATCTAATCACTCTTCAGTTTGCTACTTTCCTTCCTTCCACAGGCTGTATATCTAGGACACTCAACACCTAACTGTTGTCTGGAATAAGACTGTCCTTCTTTTATATTAACACAGTTAGTGCTGGGTTTTAATTACTGCATTCCTAACTGAACTGCATACTTTTCTTGCCAAATTTCACTACGCAGGTGTCACAGTTCAGTAGTTTAGGGATTAGAATGAGAGTCTCTGACTGTAACTTCAAAGGCCCCCCAGTCACGTGTATGGTATCACAATGTCCTCCACAACAGGACAGTGGCCAGACCTAGAACTTCTAAGACACATATAGGCTCCAGCAGCTCAAAGCCATGACTCTGGAAAATGGGAATTCCTGTCAGTTCACTGTCAACTTCCCTATTTGATCCCAAGCACCAGTGACGGCCAGAATAACTAAAAGCAATGGGCCTCACTTCAGCAAGTGGCCCCTGTATGTCACAACCTTTCTGTCCCATACAGCTCTGAGCCTGCTAAGCATCTAGGAACTTAGAAAGAGATGGAGTGGCCCTGATGGAGCCATCTTTAAATTCTTGGATGTGAAAAAAACAAACACAAACACCTACTGAAGACACCCTGAAATCAAACATTTTCTAGTATGTCGGAATAGCTTGTCTGCTAGAACCCTCTTCAAATCAACACTGGAGTCATTATGAAAAGTTTAATGGCAATTGTGATCAATGTTCATCCATTTCTAGTAAGAAGATCTACTTGGTTTACAGAGGTGTTATGTTGAGAAAAAGTTGGTAAGTTCAAACACTGGCAAAGTCTAGTTGCCTGTTAAAAATCAGACTTGAATTTAATATAAAAATTATTACAGAATTCTAATATTATGAGAACATGTCCTTACTTCCTGTGGAAATATATGTGGAGATGACCATTGGGAGTGACCTTGGGGTGCTGCTGATGTGACATGTCTGATGCACAAACACCAACTATTACCTTGCTCTAGTCTCTTATTTTAGATAGCACTTACTATCCACAATACTACACAACTTGTTTCTTGTGTCTATCTTTGTTAAATGCAAGCTTTCCAAGTGCAAGGATATTTGTTTTTGCCTCTGACAAATGCAAACAACCAAAAACAGTAACTGGCGCCATTTAGTCCAAGACCAGGTTATCGAATGCAGAGAAAGATGAGGCGACAAAACCTATGTCACAGTTTCCAACAGTGACGGTGGCAGCAGCAACAGTCGACACACTGAACCTAATGCACTGTTTACAAGTCTTAGGGACACTCGGGGAGGAGGCAAGGTTTGGTAGCCAGAGGATGAGGTGATAGAGGGTGGCTATCCTAATATTGGCTGAAATTAATGGTAAAAAAACAAGCAAAACAACAGAAAACTCTCCATGGGGCTTTGAGTGGACAGGATCTAGAAATGGGATAAACTTGTCCAGAGCTAAAGTTATTTCCAAGTCCTAACATTCCAGGGTCTGAAATCCCTTCTCCAAATAGCAGTGTCACTGAACCTGCAGTTACCACCCATCCCTTGGTCTCAGCCTTGATTCTTGCTCCCCACCCCCACCCCCGCCCCCACCCTAAGCCAGCTGCAAGGATTTCTCTAGTTCATCTCCAGAAATGGATGTGCAGGTAACTACCCAGAAATAGGATGGCTATGAGCTCACAGTACACACCTGACCACACAGAACAGGTTAATGTTCGCGTTGTACACTGAAAAGTCAATGAAAGTTGCTCGGGTCCCCCTGTCCAGCCAGAAGTTTCTCCGGAGGCCTGCAACCTGAGCAGCTGTTTCCTCCCTGGTTCTGGACAGATCCAGATAATAGCCCCCTCCGCTGTAGGTTGTAATGATTCCCCAGTGGCTGCTCCCATTCAAGTCCTTCTCATTCGTGTAGATCCACCTAATTAAATTAAAACAACAGGTCAAAGTGGTGGAAGGCTTGTCACAACTGGAAGACAGTTGATGCCTGCTGGGATAAAGTATATATAAAAATGATGTGGTTGGAAAAACATTTCTATGTGTTTTCTTAGTGAATCCTCACTGTTACTGGCCTCACTTTGGTATCCAGGGCCCTGAGGCTTAGTGAATTTGATTTATTCCCAATGTGTTTGAGCTTAAGAGTCTAGAACCCACACTAGACCTGTCTGTCCACAGAGCCTGAGCCACCATGTCCCCTCCGAGCCGTTTCTGATGACTGATTGAGGGTTACATCCCGAAAGGCCCCAGTGAAAACTGCAGACAGGAGGGACACGTGCACTGAGTCACTCACTGCCCCTCCTTGTTTCCTATGACATGAGATGACACCTGTCTTAGAGATACTCTGTAACACAGGAAAGGGTCTGGGAGAGGGTAACTGTATCAATGCCACTTACACTTATGGATGGTGTGGGACAAAGTAACATTCCAGAAAAGGAATCTGTATCCCAGCAGTCACATTCTGGAGGGAGTGGGGTAAACATGAGGGAACAAAAATGAAAAGTAACAAAAAGGGGTGGATATGGTGTGAAGGAAATCCATTTTAAAGGTTCATTTTATTCATTAATTTATTTAATTATTTGTGTGTGTGTGTGTGTGTGTGTGTGGTCATGTGTGCCACATGCATGCCCGCACCCACAAAAGTCAAAAGAGGACATAAGGTCATTTTCCCTGAAACTGGAGGCAGCGGTAGTTGCGAGCCTCCTGGCTGGAGTGCTGGGATCCACTGTGTCTTCCGCAAGAACAGTGTGTGCTCTTAACCACCAAACTGTGTCATCAGGACCCCTATGTCTGCACTTCAAATAACTGCAATCTGAACAAAAGCATATTTGTAAGAACTACTAAAATGAGTTAGGGGTCAGTCTTATTTGTTCTAAAGAAATAACACTGAACACCCTAAAACCATTCAAGGCTGGAATCATTTCCTTTCCTTGGGTTATATGTTGGACAGTTCAGGTTTTTTTTTTTTTTTTTTTTTGTTTTTTGTTTTTTGTCTTGTTTTGTTTTGTTTTGTTTTTGTTTTTAAATGTGCACATAGAAACTAAAAGGGGAAGAGAAAGAAGATGAGAGATAACAAGGAGAAAATGTCAGCTTGACCCAGGCTGTCTGAGAACAAACAACGGATGCCACTACTAGACATTGCAGACCCTTACGCAGTTCCATTTCGTGGTCCAAATGGAGCCCTGTCCTCACTCCTCACAGAGTAGACGTCATAGCATTCTTTAATTTCATTTCTTAAGTCCTGAGGGATGGAGCAGGATCCATTTCTGACCCTGAGCTGGCGCAGGCGAGGCACCCCAAGCAGCAGGTTCTCATAAAAAATGAAGGTCCGGTTGTCAGCCTGTGTGTGGTTACCCGTCTGTGCCTTCCAGTACAGCCCATCCAGGAAGGCGCCTTCTGTGAACTGAAACAAAGGATTCTGAGGAGGATCCAGACTCAGTGGCTGGCTTCTGCATGGAGCATATTTTTATAGGTCACCAAGTCTTTGAGCTTACAAGCGTAGGACAGATTGTCACAAAGATTTGGGTGTGAATCTTACTGTCATTTGCTAGGTAGTTGTGGAACCTTGCGTAGGATTCTCTAAGCTGGGTTCCCATATTTGGGAACCTTTTTTAGGTCAGGCACCTGACACAGTATCAATGTACTCTGATTGAAGTAAAAAGGTAAGAATGTCAACTACCTTTCCTTTTTTTTCTTTTTTTTAAATTAGAGACAGGGTTTCTCTGTGAAGCTTTGGAGCCTGTCCTAGAACTAGCTCTGTAGACCAGGTTGGACTCAAACTCACAGAGATCCACCTGTCTCCCGAGTGCCGGGATTAAAGGCATGTGCCAACAAAGCCCGGTGTCAACTACCTTTTGTACTGGATCTTTTTCTACCTGGATTTTGCTGCACATGGAGTTCTTCAACCCTACCCCTCCTCTTTGTGGTTTGGCATTTATCATCATAAACGGTGCATGTGAGAAGTTTCAGGTTTGTACAAAAGACTCTTCCTTAATGGAGAACAGATCTGTCATTTCTCCATGCATTCATCACTGGAGCATCCCCAGAGAGCTGCCACACTGAGTAGGGCAAAGGTCAGTACCACACAACTGTGGGTTTTAACAACAAGTGTTCTTACATATTAAAAGGTTGCAGTGCCAGTTTTCTCTATGTCTGAAACTGTAAGCTCTGACTTCAGTATTTAATGACAATTTCCCATATTATTTCTCCTGGGAGAAACAATAACTTCCTTTTAAATTTCCTTTCAAGTTTTCCTAAGTTCTGAGTACCAAGCCATCTGGACCGGCTCAATCACTATCCTGTATTATTCACTGCTGTGTTTACTTTCTTTTTTTCTTTTTTGAGACAGGGTTTCTCTTTCTAGCTTTGTAGACCATGTTGGCCTTGAACTCACAGAAATCCATCTGCTTCTGCCTCCTGAGTGCTGGGATTAAATGCGTGCACCACACCACATTGCTGTTACTTACAGCTATTGCCTGCCAGTTAGAACTTAGAAGTGGGGAAGAGGCTAGGCTGAACTTCACAGTAGCAGACCTTTGAAATGTGTCCATGTCTTATTAGGAGCTGGACACATCCTGGGACCTGAAGGCACATGGCACTATCAACAAAGATACAAATCATGAAAAGGATAGCAGCGTATGACACCTGAACTTCCTACTTGGGGCTTGTGTCAGATGATAGTCTCAATCATCATTTACAGAATCATGACTGAGTGAACAATAAGCAAAAATGAAGCAGCAAAAACACTCAAAAAAAAAAATCCAGGTCTTTTCTTTTCCAGTCATGTGACCATAAGGTAATAAGCCTGAATTTCACTTACTCATTAACAAACTGGGGCACACACATTAGTATGTACATAATAAGATCACTATAGAAATTAATAAAAGCATAAAATATCCTGTGCAAAGTGCATAGTGTTCAATAAATAAATAAATACCAAAAGGTCCAGGAACTCTAAACGACTTAATATAGCTCACAACTTCTAAAGACACTCATGACTTGAATTTATGATACCAAATGAATAATTTCTGGAGACAGGAAGTCCTTTTTAGTCATTTGTAAATACCTTCCAGAAGTCCTCCATCGAAGAAAGAGTTCTGAAGTTAGTTTTCTCTGTTTTAGACACTGGGGTGTCTATGAAAAGCTGTGACAATGTCCGAGTGTAGTAGTACACATTGGAGCTCATCATGCCATAGGTCACTGGAACGCAGAAACAATCGAGTGAACATCAAGAGGGAATATACACACGTGCTCACAGCCAACAACCTCCACGAGTGGCCTGTCCCTGGTAGGCGGACACTTTGAATAGATCAATGCTCACACAAGGTCACCTTTCACCCTTGCCTTCCCTCTCCCACAATGCTCTAGGTTATCCCTATCCCTCTGCTTATATAAGAAATATGTAGCATCGATCCTGGCCTACGTGAAACAAAACAGTCCCAATACCACACTGAACTGACCTCCCCCATGTGCATTGTTTGACCTCCTACTGTCTCCTGGGTCAACCCTTGCAGCTGTTGAGGCTGCTATGTTCAGAACCCCACACACACCTTGGCATCTCCCCAGTCTGTGTTTGTCTGTCTACTCCCCTAGCCCCTTCTTAGTTCTCCCACACCTATTTTCCATCCCTGCCTTCTCACAGCCCCGAGGCTAACCTCTACTGATTTCAACACCTGAGACTCTGTCCCTTTGTGCATCAGGCGAGACAGATCTATGTTGTCCCCTGGAGTGCTACGCTTATTCATTGACTATCTGGATGCAAGATGGACAAGGGACCTTTAGCCTTGGCCACAGCTGTTGGGATAATCCTTACTGACAACTATACTGCTCCCCCCATGGTCATCTATGGCTACAGCTGGTAACCTTTCCCAAGGGGTTCTCCTCCTCTGCTGGTCCCTCAACCTGCATCATCCTTACAAACGACCCCTTTGTATAACTTCTTTAATTACTACTCTGGATTGCTATCTGCCTCTGCTATATGGGAGACTGTGATCCAAGTTATGGCCCCACTGGTGGCCCACATAAACCATAATGATGACCATGGAGAAGGCAGTATGACAGCTCGGAGGAGTAGAGTTGCATCGCTGATCATGTGTCCTACTTCCTGAATGACTGCTTTTACTCTATAAGCTTCAGACTCCTGTTCTGTAAGGTGTGATAAGTGGCTACTCTATAGGATTTATGGGTGCTTTACTAAAAACAACCAAAACCTACTTCATACAGGGATAACAGTGCAGAAATGTCCAGTGCTGTTGGCTTTTCCTTCTAACTGATGTGCTACAAAACATCTATCAGAAACTCAGGACTTCCGAGCCAGCAAGGTAGCTCAATAAGTAAAGGCACTCACTTATCACGTATCCCTGGCAACCTGGGTTTAATCTTGGAAACCCATGTAAAGGTGAGAGGAGGAAATGGGAGTGCTCTGACCTCCATCCATACACCACGGCAAGCCTGCTTCCATATACACATCAGCCAGTACTGTTCTATGCTGGAACTATTTTGACTACAGGTGTACTATGCTATAATTGACATACTTTGCTAAAAACAGAAAGCTTCAAAAGGAAGGAATCTGTTTTCTGTATCTTTTTTACCACAGAGATGAACACACAGATGACTCTTGATTCTGTAATAACTTGTATTAAACTAATTCTGTTTAAATGATTGGTAAATATATCTTTTGCCTTTCCACTGCCAAGCAGCATATCAAATTAAGATTATCAAAGGAGAAATGTGGGTGATAATGGTCCAACATGAGTATGTTTAGGAGTTCATCTCAAGCAATCACTTAAGCAAGAAATTAGCAGAAACACACAATTTGTGCAATCGTGCAGAGTATATTAACTAATTTCCAGTCTCTCACTTGCCCTTCTATGATCTAATGTATTTAGAATATCAACAATGTTCTTCATATGGTACATGACCAACTCCCCCCCCCCCCAATACCAGACTGATCCTAGTTCAGGATTTGGAATTCTAATGGGGTACTGGTTAATATAGGACATTTTGGGGGTGTTTTACCTATTGGTTGATGTTGGAAGCTATTTGGGGCTAGGTTGAAATTATATGTATCTAAACATGGTATAGAAACCAACTTTGAAAGGTGTCTCCTTTGTATCCCGTTGTTCTTCAGATCAGATACTGGTGCTTGCTGCTGAAATTCCATTATGTGTACAGCACCCCCTGCTGGACATCACTGAATGATGCTTCTAACACTGAAGGACAAGAACTATTTTTGAACTGTCAAGATACGGCTGACTCGGTTACCTCCTGGGAGCAACATTTCTACATTTGCCCAGTGCAGGAACTGTGTGAGTACATGTCAGCGGCAGCTCAACATCAGACAGTCTGGGTGAGAACCTCACCAGTCTCCACACAGACTATCTGCCTCTGGGCTCACAACAGACGGTGCTGGTATCCCTGGATCTCGAACAGCTATTAGTCAACCTTCCTGAGTGTGAACTTGAAAATGAGCATAATAATACTGAAAGTTTTTTGTTTTTGTTTTATGAAGCCCATTAAAGAGATATATGTGAAGAAAGGCATTCGTACAGTGTGAACTGGAGTGGAAACATGACAGCTACATGTCTTTCAGTCCCCAGTGGAGGAAGTTCACTGGCAAGATGGTACCCATACGCTAAATGAATAGCAATGAGAACACCACTGTGTGAAATAAATAAATAAATAAATATATATATATATATATATATACATACGTACATACATACATACATATATATATATATTAACTGGAGACCGGAAAGGAAGGTAAATATATATTTACATGATATCAGATAATGGATATGTATGAATGTGTGGAGGGTGCAGATGTGTATGAGAGTGTGTGTACACATATCTCATCTGCCATTTCTTCTCTTAACCCCTTATTTTCCATTTTTCCAAAATAAGTCAGAACAAAATACAGGCTACCCTTGAACACATTGGCAACAGAGACAACTTCCTGAACAGAACACTAATAGCCCAGGCATTAAGATAAAAAGCTTCTGTAAGGCAAAAGACAAAACAGCAGCCTACAGAATGGGAAAAGATCTTCACCAACCCCTGACAGGGGGCTGATTCCCAAAATATATAAAGAAGTCAAGAAATCAGACATCAAGAAAAAAAGAAAAGAAAAGAAAAGAAAAGAGAGAGAGAGAGAGAGAGAGAAGAAAGAATCCAATTTGAAAAAGGTAGGGCACAGATCTAAACAGATAATTCTCAGTAGAAAAATCTCAAATACCAATAGACTTAAAGAAATGCTTAACATCTTTAGCCATCAGGAAAAAAAAAAATGACTCTGGGATTCCATCTTGCACCTGTAAAAATGGCTAAGACCAAATCCACAAGTGACACCTCATGCTGGAGTGGAGTTGGAGAAAGGGGAACATCCTCCATTGCTGGTAGGAGTGCAAACTTGTACGGCCACTATGGAAATCAATAGGCAGTTTCTGAGAAAATTGGGAATCAATCTACCTCAAGACAAAGCTTGAGGTATATACCCAACGGATGCTTAATCATAGCACAAGGACATTGCTCATCTATTTTCATCATATCCATACACTGGAAACAACCTAGATGTTCCCTTAATAAAACAATAGATAAAGGCAATGTAGTACATTTACACAATGGAGTGTAATTCAGCTGTTAAAAAAAAATAACATCATGAAAACTGCAGGCAAATGGATGTAACTAGAAAAACAAACAAACAAACAAACAAAAAAAAACTCTGAGGTAACCCAAACATGGAAAGAAAAACATGGTATGTACTCACTCATAGTAGATATTAGCTGTGAAGTAAAGGATAACCATGCTACAATCCACAGAGCCAGGGAATCTAAGTAATAAGGAGGGCTCACGGGGACACATGCATCTCCCTGGGAAAGGGAAATAGATATCACAGGAGGAGGTGGAGAATGGGAATAGGAGGGGTCAAGTTTGGGGAGGATGGAGGGAGAGAGTACTGGAAGAGACAAGTGGAACTGGGGGCATCTTGGTAATAAACTAGAAATCTAGTGTAATGGAAACTCCCAAGAGTCCATGAAGGTGACCCTCACTAAGACTTCTAACAATGGGGGATATAGAACCTGAACCAGCCATCTCCTGTAACCAAGTAAGACCTCCAATAGAGGGACTGGGACACCAACCCAGCACAAAACCTTCGACCTACAATCTATCCTGCCTACAAGATGTGCTGGGGTTTAGATAGTGCTGAAATTTTGGACGTGACCAACCAATGACTGGTCCAGCTTGAGACCCACACCACACGAGGAAGCCCACTCCTGACACTGCCTGGAGGGCCAGGACCCAGAAGCTGGATAGCCTAGAGACCTAGGATAGAATCAAACACAAGTAAAAAAAAAAAAACAAAAAACAAAAAACAAAAAACAAAAACAAAAACAAACAAACAAAAAAAAAACACCACAGGCTACCAAACATTCATCATGCAAACTAAGAGACACTGCCTGGAAAACACTGACAAATCAGTTCAAAGCAGCCAATGATACTGTTTTATCCATTGTTGAGAAACTATAAGCTGTCTACAGCCATACCACCCTGAATGCGCCCAATCTCATCTGCCCTTGGCAGCTAAGCAGGGTCAAGCCTGGTTAGTACTTGCATGGGAGAAACTATAAACTTAAACATTAAAAAAAAATACAATGTAGCATTGAGTTCCATCTACTGCATATATTTCAATGTCTAGAGGCAAAAGAAAAAAATCTAATTTCAGGAGAGAAAAAGAAAGCTGTAAAGTTTCCAGGAAAGCATAAACAACAGGAAAAGTGGAAAGTTGACTAGGTTAACCTCTTATTAGAAAAAGGGACTTTAACATTTGAAAAGGCAACTTGAGAATTTTTATAAGAAACCTACTTAATATAAAGTTAAAGAGTGGAGAGACACTTCACATTTGCAAGCTTAGGGAGCTGAGTTCAATCTTGGTCCCGTGTGACAGTGAGAAGAGAGAAACAACCTGGAAATGTTGCCCTCTGGGCACCACAAGCAGCCACTTGTGCATCATATCGTGCACACGCTAATAAATAAATATTTTCCAAATAGAGTAAGTTGACATGGTGTGTACTTAGTTTTTGTTAACTTGACACAAACTACAGTCACCTGGGAAAGAAACCCAAGCATTGAATTTCCTCCATCAGACTGTTCTGTGGGTGTCTGTGGGTGACTGATGATGTGGGAGGGTCCATCCCACGGTGGGTGGTGCCGGTATCCCAGAAGCATCTGAACCACTCATTAGAAGCAAGTGAGTGAGCAGTGCCCCCACAGCCTCTGCTTCAGTTCCTGCCTCGGGCTCTGCATCTGGCTCCTACCTCTAGGTTCCCTTGAGGATGGACTGAAAACTGCAATATGAAATAAACCCTTTTCTCCCCAGGTTGCTTTGTGGTAATAAAAACACAGCTATAGAAAGCGACAGCAGTTTCCTACAGTAGGAGTACTGGGTCTGAAGAAAAGCTTGCCTTATATCAATAAAAGATACCATAAACAATGACTTAGCTCTCGTGAATTCTTACATATTAAATAACAGATTATCAAGATATATGAAATGATATGTAATATAAAAAGAAGCAAAATCACCATGGGTAACTCCAAAATGACACACTGCCACTTAAGCCAAAACACAAAGTAAAACCTCCTAAAACAAAAAGAGCTAGGCAGACAAAAACCTTTACATAACAAACTCTAAAAATTAGCTAACAAAAAGGAAGATATATGCATATCAGATTAAATCACTTGGCAATTTTAAAAACTGCTTAGAAAATCATAATTGCCACAGAAAGTAGAATCAGGATGCCTTGGTCCCAAAAACTACTCTTGCATAGGAAGCCTAACATTTTTTTATATCTTTGTCTCACACCATGTGTTCTCTTGGGGATGTGGTGGGAGAAAGTATGAAACTCTCCTTGAAGGGACTCTGTCTACAAATGCACAGTGCTAAATAGCTAAATAGAAATCAATGAGTCACTAAGTTTGGGCTGGTGTGGTTGTTATCAACTCGCAGGAAGTTCTCCAAATCAGTGAATGAGAACAAAGGAGCGTGCGGGAAAACCCAGTAAGAGAGGAGGAACAGAAGTGAGCAGTGTCAACAGTGAGAAACACTCTGCGCACAGCACTGCAGTGTTGGGGTAATCCTGTGCACTGTGTGAAGATGTGGCACTGTGACTGGCTTCAGAAGCCAAACGGCCGATAGTTAGGCCGGAGGTACAGGTGGGACTTCTGGACAGAGAGCGCTCTGGGAAGAGGAAGGATAGACTGGAAAAAAACAGGATGAGCATAAAGCAGAGGCAAGAATGTAGTTAAAGAATATGGGTTAATGTAAGTTATGAGAGCCACTTAGAAAGAAGACTAAGCTAAGACTGAGCTTTCATAAGTACTAAGTCTCTTTGTCATTTTTTGTGAGCTGGTGGCCCTGTGCTTCCTCCCTCCCTCCCGGTCTCCCTCCCAGCAGGACAGATGCAGGGAACCAGCCAGACAAACCACTGTGAGGACACAGGGCAGAGTGGGCCTGGAGTAGCAGCACAGTTGAGAGTCCCACTTGAGTTGAGACCAAAGAACTTCTCCCTGGATCTGGCTTCTGAGTTGACCCTGAAGGAAGGGGACTTGGACCAACAGTAATGAGGCTCTGGAATCTTCTAGGCCTTTTAGCTCCTAGCCTTCACCCTAGAAACTATGTTCCGTGCCTGATCAGGAGACTCAGTGTCCATCACTGCCCAAGAAATGGCCAGCAACTGACTGTCGATCTGCAGCCAAATCCTGTCAAAGGGGCTGAGTCATAAACCATTTACACCAATGTTCTCTCCAAAAAATATAACCTGCTTAAATACAAAGGATAGTGCTGACAGGAAAAAAAAAAAAAAAAAAAAAAAAAAAAAAAAAAAAAAAAGCTTCTGGTTACAGGGAAAAATAAGATGAAGCCAATCTAAAGACTTCTAAAATAAACAACAAAACATGGCTGGTTGTGTAACTTCAGTCAGTTTTCACTCTCAGTCTTCAGTTTACTTCTTTGGCCTCGTTTGTAAACTCACTCCATCTGAAAATGTACTTTTCCTCATACTGAAGAGCTTAAGTTGAACTGCTAAAGCTGTAATTTTTTTTCTGTTTTGTTTTGTTTTTTTAAAAGTTCTTTTGGCAACTGATGTTCAGTCTGGAGGATTACTCAAAATCTAGACTTCCTTTGTATTAGAAATACACTTGCATATGTGATGTTTGAAAATGCTGAGTAATTGTAATGGACATGTTAATGAGAAAGCCAATGTGGCTTAATATTTAAGTGCCACTTCCATGCTGGGGACAAACACAACCTCAGTGTTCTGTGCTCCCGCGGCTAAGAACAAGGACGTCGGAAATATCCCAGCTCTTGCCTCCTGAAGTTCAGTGTAATACACACATTACTTCCAGCTTTAGTGTTTCTATGTTAGAAGGCATGTCTTTTAAAAGGTCACATCATGCATGTAAGGAATGCAATGTGCTGAGCTCGCAGCAGTAGGATGGTGGCTGCCAGGGCTGGGGGGGGGGGGAACAGGTGACCCTCCAAGTCAGCAGACATAACTGCTGAGAGGCGGTAATGGGAAGGAGGCTGGCTTCAGACAACTGAAATAATCAGGGTGAGTTCTGAGACAATAGAAATGCTGTAAATTTGGACTGTAAGGGGTTAAACCTCTGCACATTAGAAAACTAAATGAAACATGTTTTTGTGCATGAATCTTGAGGCATATATAAAAGTTTCATCTCATTAAAGCTATTTCCTAAATAAAGCTTTCTTCCTCCAAAGTGACAATAAATAAATAAATAGAAACAAAAATCTGTCACTTTTAAGCCTGTTTGTGGTTATTTTAAATGTCTGCATTTTCTCCGCTGGCAGATTGTGCTTTGCTACCCAAGATGATTACTATGTTTCAGAGCTGCAGTCACATCATTATCTCCATAGTAGGTATTAAATTAAATATTTAGTAAACGAGGCACATCTATCAAGCACCAGGAATAAACGATAGGTCGCTAAAACAGAAAGTAATGACATGAAACTTGTTCAGATTTTTTTTCCTCTGGAGCAAGCATTCCTAGGTCTGCTCTGCTGTGAATTACACTCTTGGGAATATTTTCACTTTTTTTCCCATCTCCCAGCTTATTATAGATGAGGAAAACAGATGAGGATGTATGCAAGGGAAGGTTCCTCTTAACCACTGAGGCACCTCTCCAGGCTCCCACCCAAAGAAAATTATTAAATTACTGATCAAATTCTGATTCTCTCCATATACAAAAAAGATGGACTCTTCTGTATGTGGGCATCAATTTTAAGCATCTCTCAGTCTACACTGGAGGAGGTGGGTTTCTTCTTAGGGAAGTTTAGTAAAAAAGCCTGGGGGTGAGGATGGCACAAACTGGCTTCCGTGTCCCCGTAAAAGGCCTCAGAGAAGACATAACAAAAATCTATGCTTCATAGGGCCAGCAAGATGGTCAGCAGTTACAGCACTTACCAAGCAAGCCTTAATGGCTTGAGTGCAAGCTGGAGCCCATATAGAAGTGGAAGGAGAGAAATGACTTTACAAAGTTGTCCTCTCACCTCCCCAAGAATACTGGTGTGGGAATGCATGCGCTTACACACACACATACACACACACTCATTCACACACACATACACACACACATGCACACTCATTCACACACACATACACACTCACACACATTTGAAAAACCCAGGATTCAACAAGCTTCTATTCAGGATACATGATTTGCCTATAACTTTTCAGGACTTAGAAGTAAAGAGTACCTGAGATGGGTTCTGAGCTACGGTTTCCCTCCACTCCTCCCCCAGAGAATGCACGAACACACCAAAGTAAGAGAGGAGAGACACAAACTAGGCCAGCTAGGCTTCCCCTAAAGCCTAGTGATCCTAGAGGACTTGGCAGAAATAAAGCACTTTAAGGAAAAGCAGTAATTCAAATGTCAGGGTCCCAGCGGGGATTTGGAAGGCATGCGCCGCCATGAGCAGGAATGTTATCACCTGAGAGTTAGACATGGAAGTGTGACATACACTGATATGAAATCTAACATCCAAACCCTTTGGCTGGGATTTTTGTAGACAGCAGGTTTCTTGAGCATCCTACAGTGAAATCTGTCACAACTAACAGCGAACTGGTCAGCAGAAACTTCCCCAAAGTCCAGTCTAAACTGGAAACCACACTGGGAAGAAAATTGCTGGTTTGACCCTCCAGGCTCTCACATACTTCTCTTCAATCATGATTACGACAGGTCAAGCACCCTCAAAACATGCTTCCATGTTTTGAGAGGAAGAGAAAGCGTGTACTCACAGATGCACGAGACTATGAGGAAAAGGAGGTAAGTGACCAGTTCCCGTAACACACTTTTAAGGTATTTCTCCCGGTTAGTGTTGCTCTCTTCCATGAGTCTTGTTCCCCAGAGACCTTTAAAATAATGAGAAACAAACAAAACAAGGTCATTCAGAAATTTCACAAGTGGCGAAAGGAAAAATGAAAGGAATAGTGAACCGGTTCTCAGATGGAAAGAGGAATGTGTATGCATGCAAACTGCATGTGACTCACAGGGATTTTATTTAGTATACACCATGCTCCATCCACCTCAAAAGTACAAAATCCAAGGCAACTCAGTCAGTTTATGTAACTTCTAGGACCATTAGCAAATATCTTTAAAAGTTTAGGAGGATGGGAAATGAAGACAAATTAAAAGATTTTGCAGTTGTGCACAACACATCACATCACTCTTCTTCCTGCTTTGTAAAGGATATGCCTGGTAACACCCACCCACACACACACACACACAAAGAAAACCTTGCTAAGAAGATGGTGTAACTACAGAATAAACCACCACAGTGCAAAATTGGAGTTGCTGCATCATTCCAACTTGGAGATGTCTACTGAGCTTCTAGCATAGTGACAGAAAGGCTGCCTGCTTTGTGCTCACCTTTGTGAGGAATGCAGTGACAACAGGTGTTTAAAGTGCCAATAAATATGGCACATGTGGCTCCTTTGTCTTTCTTTTGGGAAAAACTACGATGAACAACCATGTTGTGTATTTCAGCAGATGGAAAGTGTCAGGCTGGTGAGGTAGAGATGATGTAACCCTTGGAGAGGTTGCTGGAGAGAATTACTGGTTTGGGATTCAGCCAGGAGGCGGCATGGTTGCTATCCAAGACCCATTAATGAACAGTGGTTAAGTCACAATGCTGTTTCCCTGGGAGAGCTTTAATATCTTCCCCCCAAACACTAACTTCTCAAACCTTCCAGTTAGGTTATAAACAGACACAGACCTGGCTCCTCATGTACCTGTCATCATTCACTCTAGATCTGACTCCCTTCATTAACCCAAATTTAAACCACACTTGAGCCAGAAACAAGCCACAGGGAGAAGGGGGAACAGTGAAGGGTTTTTCACATTGAGGAAATGAGGTCATCATTAAGGTTGATACAATTTTTAGTTCCTTATAAAAACACAAGAGCTCTATTCTATTAGAATAAATTCAGCTATTCCATTTTTCCTTTCTTCCTTTAAACACTTAGCATCTAAACTTCAAGGATGTCATGATACTAATAGCAGGCCTAAGCACTCTGAAAGCTGAACATAGTTTATGACCAGGTCTGCTGCTGGCAAGAGCTGGTATTTGTAGGGGAATTGCTCATGCAGAAGAAATGCAGCAAGCAGGGTGTTTATTCATTGTAACTCTATCATATTCAAGGGTTTTTTACAAATCTGGATGACATGGAAAATTACAAATCAGGCTAACACAGCAGCCAAGGATCAGGCTCAGCAGCCTCAGGTACAACCATACTTCTATCTTTGGGTAGAGTTCTTCTGGAGGCCTGGCCTACAGCACATGTGGTGACTGCTGGTCTCTTTAGCATCTTTACTCCTATGTGGCCAGTGATCTTATTCTTTCCACTGGTTTATAGACCACTATGCACTAAGGAATAGACATAGTTTCATACAAATGGTATTCTCCAACCTTTAAATAGAAACAAGACAAAAACAATATCAGATTTTTCTCAAGCCAATTTGCAATGAGTTATGGTAATTTAATTCAAGCCCTTAAAAGGAAATGAAGAAACCCCCCCCCCTTTCTTATCTCTATGTACTATCATGTATTTTCTTTTTTCTAAATTACCTTACCTACTTCCTAAATATAAACCTCTTAGGAGGTCTATCTTAGAAGATGGGGATCCCTCTGCATCACTGTCCTGTAGCAGATTACTTCCAGCGTTCATGAGTTGACAGGGAGGAGTGGTTTAAGGTGCACATCACACAGATGGCTCAGATTCAATGCCTCAAATGAACACCCTTCCCCCAGAAACTTCTTATTTGAGCAAATGGCATCAAACAAGAAATGAGGTCCATCTCAAAGTGAGTTCTCATACCCTTCTTCACATGGAGTTTGTTCTATAACTATTTTGTTATGTGTTGAGACAGGGTCTCACTATGTATCTCAGCCTGACCTTGAGCTTGGAATGCTTCTCCTGCCTCTGCCTCCTGACTGCTGGGAATACAGACATGTACCACCATGCACATCAAGCCTGAATCTGTAACTGATGGCCTTTGCCTTTAATCTAGGCCTGTAGCACCACAGCCAGGATCCTTTTTCTTGCCTGCTCTCTCCTGAACATCCACTCACTATATCCTCTACATTCTTCAGTCTGGCCTGTGGTTACACTAGTTTTGTCCGAAGTCTCTCCATAATTCCAAATACCTGCAAGAAAATGTACCAACTTCTTAATGCAACATTCAGGTCTGCTTAGCCTTGTTCCCAGTTAGCCCCCCCCCCCTTCAAAGTGTGGCTCACTTTGAATCCCTGTGAAGACCTTCACTGACCTTAGGTAGAGATAGGTTACCTCTGCCTTGAGTCCACTACCCATGAGGACAAAGGCCACAGTGATACCTTAGAGTAAAGTAACTTTCTGATTAAAACTTGGCTCTGGTCCTTAGGGAGCAGGGAAGCGGGAACACTGGAAAGGATCATGGGAGACTAGTCACCTGGGAAGGGCAGCCTGCCCGTCAGCTCAGTTACATCTCTGAGCAGTGTTCCACACAGGATGGTTGAGGGACAAGGTACTGAGGTCCAAGAGCAATGCTGGAGAGTTGGTGCCACAGACCCCATGGTGAGGAGATTAGACACCACAGAGTGCAATGGCTGTAAGCATCAAGTCTGAGGGATGGCTACTTACAGGGTCTAGTCTAGGACCTACCTCTGAAACATTCTTTATATTGAGGTTCAGTCTTCACAAACTAGTAAATAGATACTCTGGGATAGCTCCAAAGATCTCAGAAAAGAAAGCTGAGTATAGTATTAGTATAACTCTGATCTGAGTACCAACCCCCTGGAGAGATGACACAGGGGGATGGAAAGTCCCAGGCCAGCTTGTATTGTGAGACCCTGTCTCAAAAGACAAAAACTTAAAAACAAAAACAAACAAAAACAAACAAACAAACAAACAAAAAAACAAAACAAAACAAAGCAAAAAAAACAAAAAGCAAAAATGCCTAAAACATGTCCATTATCAGGGTGGAGTTAGGGAAATGGAGTGTGTATGTGTGAATCCAAACAAATACATTGTATGCATGTAAGAAATTCTTAAATATAATAAAGATATTAAATTTAAATAAAAAACCATGTCCATCAACTAAGAGATAGACAAAATGTAATATATGTATACAATGAATCTAGAAGCCAGTCATTTATAGGAAAAAAGTTCGGATACACACTGCTGTGTGGAGGAGCTTGAAAATAGGTTACAAAAAAAAGCCAGACACAGCAGGGCAGATTCTGATTTGTACATGATTATGAAAATGTTCGGGGAAAAAATAGTTAAAGTAGAACCACACTGTTATAAATATATATAATGCACACTTAGCTGTAGCTAGAAGGGTAAATTTGATGTTGCACATATTTCGGCATAACTTAAAAAAGAAAGACAGTAGGTTCTTCCACTTTCAATAAATTAAGAATCTGGATACACAGAATAGTTGATATGGTTAATCCTAAATGTCCTAAATGAATCAATATTTAAAAAGTATGGAAATATGAAAAACGGCTGGCTAAAGTTAGGTAAGAGCACTCAGGCTATTTATTTGTCATAGCAAGCACAGTTTTGAGCCTGGCGTTGGTGGCTGTGGTGCATGCCTTTAATCCCAGCACTCGGGAGGCAGAGGCAGGAGGATCTCTGTGGGTTCCAGGCCAGCCTGGTCTACAGAGCAAGTTCCAGGACAGGCTCCAAAGCTATACAGAGAAACCCTGTCTCAAAAACCAAAAACAAACAAACAAACAAACACACACACACACAAACAAACAAACACAGTTTTGGGCTCCAATGCCTGTAATTAAATCCTAGTTCCAATATCTGATAGTTGGGACCTTGGAAGACTCATTTAAGCTATAAAAGCCTTGGTTCCCTCATGAGGAAGATGGCGTGAGGACAGCTTCTACAGCATAGGGACAGCTGAGGACAAAACAAACTATGGCCGGCTGTTAAAGTCTCCAAGAGTGCTGAGCACAGTGGGCAAGAGAAAACAATGACGGCTTATCAAACATTACACATCAGTGCCATGCTCTGATTATTTCAGGAAAAATAAGAGTAACCCTCATGTTCACTTAGGCCATAGCAATATGTGACAGAGATTGCTAACTGTGGACAAAAATCCATTTCTCCCCTGCTGGATATGTGGCTACATTATACTCTTCAGCCATCCTGACAGTATCGTTAGTTACATGAATTAAGAATTTGCAGCAGGAATCAAAGTGATGAGTTTAATTTCCAGGACAATGTCTGGGGCACTGTCATCAAATCATTCAGTTGTCCTTTGCTTCCTCTGGTGCAGGCTTTCAACACCTCTTGGCTGATGTCCCTATCTACTTCTGATAATCACCCAGCATGCCTAGCTGCCAAGTCCCGTTGGTCCAGCACGTTCTGCTGTGGCTGAGAAGCATTCAAGTGCCTCTTAATATTTAGAGATACATTTTAATTGCCCAGTTAGACACAGTGTGCCTCAGAATGAGGCTTCAGACAGTCCTGCAACCTTACTACTCTCTGATAGAGGTGAAGTCCATCCACTCTCCAGAGAACGGGAAACACCATTTGCTGGGTCCACAAGGGCATGGAAGACTAAGTCCAACCCTTTCATTATAAATAAGAAGCTGAGGCCCAGAGAGACACAAGAAGTGACAGGGTAGAACCTGACTGTCATGATATTTTTTTATGATCTAACAAATAAAGCTTGCCTGAAGATCAGAGTGCAGAGCTAGCCACAGAGGCCAGGCAGTGATGGCACACACCTTTAATCCCAGCACTCGGGAGACAGAGACAGATGAATCTCATTGAGTTCAAGGCCACACTGGGCTACACGAAATCGATCCAGTCAAAAAGAGAAACAGAACTCCCTCTAAGGTGATCTCAGCACTTGGAATCCCATGCCTTTAATCCCATAACTAGAGAGGAGTAAAAAGACAGGACCTCAGTTTGGTGGACACAGATGCAGTCTGGAGATGCAATCTGAGGACAGGATAGCTCCTTCAGTCTGAGCATTGGTAGAGGTGATAACTCTCTAGTTCTCTAGACTAGCCACTCTGCTTCTCTGATCTTTAGCTTTAACCCCAATACCTATCTCTGTGTTTTCAGTATTTATGCTACACCTGACAATTACCCTTAATTCTCATCATCAGGGTTATTTACATGATATATATACAAGGTTCCCATTATTGTTATCTCACAAGCCAGAACAAAAAAAAAAAAAAAAAAAAATCCATGTCTCGTTCACTGTTGGTTATTTTACATCTCTGGGCTCTGTCTTTTGGAAAACGGTGATTTGCTGTGCCATACCTTCTTCATGCTAAATATTTAATACATGTGGCTTACTTAATAAGCCACAAGGATGCCAATTACATTTCTTCATAACAGGAATAAAATGTTTTAAAATTTCCATAATTAATTTCCCAAGTCTGCTCTTTGTGAATTACACCTTCGATAGATGTACCACCCCATTATTATTTTTACAATTTATTAGATATTACTGAGAGCACAGATGCAGAGACACACAGGGCAAGACCCTAGGAGGCGACTCACAGCTACCATGGTCTCTCCAGTGCCCCTCTCTCTCAGAGCCTCTGCAAGGTTCCCACTGATCAAGCCTGTCTTATGGTGGGTTTACTAAAATTCTTCTTTAAAAAGTAATGAACCTATACATATATATGCCTCAATATAAACTTACACATTTTATTGTCTCCCATTACTGAGTTCAAAGTTAAGTACATTACCAACTGCTCAAGCTGATTTAAAATCATGTGAGTTTCCATTATCCACTGCTTATAAGAAACTTGTATCTTGTGTCGGTGAGTTTTTTCTTAAAAGCACTTCTCACATAGTTTTAAAACAACCTGTTTCACACGGTTTAGACATGAAGAAGCATCAGTGTTTTGCTAGTCTATTAAAGTTACCTCAAAAGGACATTTGTGTTTCACAACTCCCAAGTCACATTAACTAGTACACATGTAAAACCAGGTTCATTGTTTGTAATATTCATGAAGCACAACAAGGCAAAGATGGACTGCCCATTTTAGATGTCTTCTCACTAGATTATTGGAACACATCAAGGGCTATGGACTGGCTATTTCTTTCCTTAAAGAAAACTGAAGGATCAGAGCAGTTAAATAACACGTTCAAGGTCAAACAGTAGGAGAGCCAGAATTTAAATGTAGGCCTGACCTATCTAAATCACACTGCTTCAACATCTGGATACTTTCTGTGCAGGACTGGAAACTGCAGACAGAAACAAGAAATACCAGGATGGAACTCTTAAAGGTGGAGAGTAAGATAACTAGCTGGGTGAGAGTTAGTCAAACTCTTTTCCTCGGATGCCTCTGGTGGCAAAACTTTGAGAACACGGGATTCAATCTGCTATTGGAAAATCCCTGTCCCCTCCAGCCTTGTGGAGAGTTGGGTGCACTGATGGCTGACACATTAACCTGCTGATATCTGGGGAAGCAATCATCTTGCTGGAATGGCAGAGAATATTATTTTAAAACATACTTTTAGTCTTTAAACACACACAGGATGGGGGTTGTATTTCCTTTGCAACTGTTTAAGAAATATGTCTAGAATTAGAAATGGTCAAAATGCATTTCTACAGACATTACTGTATTCATGCTGTCAACAGCTCCCCTCTTAATCGTACCCATCTAAAGGCATCACTCTCTAAACTTCGGTAACACTGTGGTTCCATTCCTAGACTGGCTGAAGGGACATGGCGCATTGCTGCCTAAAGAAAAGTGTGGGAGTTGGAATGAACTTGCTCCTCATTTTGTGACATTTAGCAAACAGTTTCAACTATCATCAGTTGTCCTAGAATATTCTGTTAGTTCTCCACAAGCCCCAGATATTCCCTAAAACGGCTCTCTCCTTTTTCCCAAAGTGTGCTGGCATCCTAATGAGAGAGCAAGGCGCCTGATGAATTCGAACCAAGGGCACAGTGGAATTCCGTGCTGGGTACGGGAAATCGCAGAGTCAGCAGAGGTAGGGAGGGTGCTCTGGAATGAGGCGGGAACGCGGAGGACCAGGGTTCGAGCCTGCAGGCTGGCAGTTCTCCCACGCGCATCGGACACCGCGGGTCCGGTTCTTACCTCGCAGCCCGCGCACCAGCCTTCCGGCCCAGGCCACTCGGGGTGGCTGCCCATCCAGCGGGAGATGGCGATGCAGAGGGTCCCCTCCGCCTGCGGGGCTGGGACCCGGCTCGCCCTGGTCCTCTAGTCGGCGCCTCCTCCCGCTCGGGTGCCCGGCGCCCCGGTAGCTCCCCAGGGCTCGTCCGCGGGCGCCCGCCGAGCTCACGGCCGAGGAGGAGGCCGACCTGCGGCTGCCGGGTCGCCACTCCACGTCCATCTCCACCACCATTCCTCCTTCTTCCCCTTCCACCTCGTCGTCGTCATCCTCCTCCTCGGCCTCGAAGCCCGGGTTATCGCGGCTCCACGCCTGCCGGGAGCACGACGAGAGCGGAGGAGAAGGGGATGCCGAGGCTCCGGCCGGAGGGTCCCGCGCAGCCGCCTGCCGGATGCGCTCCATCTCGATCTCCAGGCCCCGCTGCTCCCGGAGGCCTCCCGGGACCGCCAGGCCGCCGCCCACCGCCGAGCCTCCCGCAGCCAGCCGGCCGGGGCCCGGGGCTCTCGGTGCGGGCGAGCGCTTCGCATCCCCGGGCGGCTGAGGCTGCACGCGGTTGGAGTTCACCATCGCGGTCACTGGCGCCCAGCGCGCCCCGGAAAGCCGCTACCCTCGGCCGCAGAAGCCATGTTCTTTCCTTCCCGGGGTCCGCCGCCTGCTCCCCGCCCCCGCCCGCCCCCTCGGCCCGCCTCCCGGGGCCGGGCCTCGCCTCCGCTGGCCTGAGGTATGGGGAGTGGGCCATGGCGGCCAGAGCGCGCCCCTCCTGCTTTCCAAGTGGAGCCAGGATACCCAGAGGCGCCCACATTCTTATGGGGTAGCTCGCAAAAGGAGGAAGTGCTTGTCCCGCCAGCTCCTCTGGAAAGGGAGTCTTGGGTTTGTCCATGCCTGCATGACCTGGAGATGATGCTTAGGCCCTGTCCATGCCCTGCCTACGTTTACCAAGGCGCAAAGGGGAGTGTAAAGACTGAGACCCTCTGGAGCGATCATGTGAACTAGTGAAATCCAGCTTGAAATGAAGCCTCCGAGAGGGCAATGAAATCTACCCTTCATTTAAAAGCCAGAACAGGTCACTAAGGCTGCCTCGCCTTGCACTTGGTGGCCCTCATCTCCCTAATTCTCCTGCTGATTGGGTGATTTCCCGTCTTTCCGCTCTCCAGACATCCTGAAGATTCCAAGGACTGGGTTTTGAGACTCTCTGATTGCTGATGCCTCCATCGCTATCTCATTTCCGCTCCTGCCCAACACTGGGCTCTGAATAACTGGATCCTGCTTTAGGTGTTAGTTCAAGATCTCCATTCTTGTCTATGCCCTGCAGATGATTCTTGCTAAGCCTACCCACTCAGTTCTCCACGGTGTCTCTGTCTCTTTTACATTCATATCCCTGGTTGAGACTTATGCATCGCTCCCTTTCCTTCTGAGGCCACTCTTAGGACAGTTCTCATTTGCCTCTCGTAGATCTTGTTACTTCTACCCTCAAGGGTCTCTGATAAAAATCTCCACGTTTAATTACCACTGCTGGCGTTGTTATTCCACATTGGAGCAAACGATTTCTGTCTGTTCCGCCTCTCTTCTGCCATTCTGATACTAAACCAGCCTCGCCTTCTTTAGCTTATCGAGTAAGACTGGATTGGAAGCCTTCAAGAGTGCTATGGCCGAATATTCTCCGTGTTCCCACCGTTTCCAGATTATAGGATCGGCCATGTTGATGCATAAAGAGTCTATGGACTTCTAGCTTAAGTGATAACATTTAATTCCTGTAGTTTAACAAATGTGTACGATCTGATCTTATATTAGTTTGCTGGGTTTTGTTATAACAGCCTACCTTTTCCTGTGTTCAATAACACAAATGTGTTTTCTCCAAATGGATTGCTTGGCCTCTTCTGAGGTCTCTCTTGGCTTGCAGATGGACCATTTTTGCCTGCTTCTCCCCATTGTCTTCATTTGGATATCTTCTCTTCCTCCTTCTCCTTATCATCATCATCATCATAATCATCATAGTGGTTTCAGACAACCATAATTGTATGGATTAAATTTAGTTGCTTTGAGAAAAACCCAATGACCAAGTGTAGTTATATCCTGTGCTTAGGAATTCAACACATGAATCTCAGAGGAACACATTTAATCCAGTCATATTAGGCCCTACAATACTTATCTAAAATGGTTTTCCCGTCACGCAGCATTGTTTGCTGGCGCCATAGATATTTCCTGTGTGTAACATTAGAACTATGTAAGTTAAGAAGAGTGTAATAAAGACCTTGGCCTCAAGAGAAGGTGGATCTAACAAAGAAAGGTGCAGAAATCTCCCACTAGGGAGGTTGGGATGCCTGTTTTACAGGGGTCCTCTAGGGATACAGTTTTGCACTAGCAGAATGACTGCTTAACAGGCACATTGACAAAGAAGCTAGGTGTGAGGAGAAAGTACATACTCAGCCAGAAAATAGGCTCAGTATTTGATTTTAAAATGTGGCTCATAGAACTGCAGGCATCATTTAAGATTCTTAGAAACAGAGACCTCGGGTCCTCCACAGCAGTCTCATCGACTAAGAAATTCTGGTTTTGCCCTGGAATCCAGAATCTCCTTGGAGTCTCCTGGCACCCTAAGTATGAGAAGCAATGCTATGTTTCAGATGAAAGTGTGTCATACAGTTCATCCCGTGGCCCCATATTTTATAGTCTCCCATGAGAACATCCTCCAGAGCCCACTCTCAGAAGAAATTTCAGTGGTGCTGCTGTCTTTGTAGATGTTTATTCCACACTAACTCATCATCAGGACCTCAGAAGCAGACAACTGCATAGCCTGGGGAAAGTTCCCTCACTTGCGCTTGTGAAAATGGAGACAATCCTAATTCCTGACTCAAAGGTTTGTAAAGATTAGGTGACTTAATACAGGTGTCTAAGACCATCCCTTTGGGCTGCTGTAATAAGAAATGCCCCTACCTGGTGGCTTGTCAACATTTACTTCTCACAGTTCAAGAGGCTGAAGTTTCAAGACCATGGCACCGCACTGGCAGTTGGAATGTGCTGACATCCTTTCTGATTCATAGGTTACTTCTTAGGTGTATCTGCATGTGTTGAAAGGAACAAAAGAAACATGTAGTTGGGATTTGGATCTTAAATATCCTTCAAGGTTTGTGTGTTAAAGGTTCAGTCACCAGACTGTGGTCCTGTTGCGAAGTAGAGAACCGTGGGAGGTGGAAGCCAGTGAAATTAGCTCACCAGGGACATACTCCTTGAAGGCAATGTTGGGACCCAGATCTTCCTCCCATGTCCTTTCCTACCCTATCTTCTGGCCACCATGAGTAGCATTGTTCCACCATGTGTCTGACTTTCAATAACATTCTCACTAAAAAAAAAAAAGTCATTTCGCCCTATTGACTTACCTCAGGCATTTTGTCACAGCAATGGAAAATTGGCCTGTGCAAACTCCTTTGACCTTATACAACATCTGTCTCTATGACTCCATATACAGGCCTGCCTCCTTTTATCATCCCTGTGACAGTTAAGGGTTTCAGTGTATGCATTTGGGAAACATCATCACTCAAATTATATCAGTAAGGCATATGGAACACTGCCTTGCCCATGGTAAATGCCATATGCTGTTAAAGCTGTATCCAGTCTTACATATTAATTCTAGTAATTATTTTTTACTTACTATAACTGCTTGTTGGTCATCTTTGGACCTGCTAGACTGTGTATTTGTTGAGAATGAGAACAGGGGATCCATGGCAAACTCAAGATTGTAAAGCAAATACTTCTGAAATTCCAGGGAGGGGGCACATGGCTAGGAGCAAGAGGCAGTCTCTGAGAAGGGACAGATCTAGTCCTCATGGGAAAGAGGTCATGAGTAGAGCAAATGCTTAGGAATCTCAAGTCACAAAACTGGAGCTTTGACTAAAGCTAGGGTTTCCTGACCCCTCAGAAGGGATGAGGGTTTTGCTATTTGTTTGCCTCTTGGGATACTTTTTCCCAACTGGAAGACAGCAGGTCACTGCTGAGTTTGTGCCTTTCTTATCTGTCCTTAGCATTTATTGCTGGTCCATTGCTTTTAGCAGGAGTATATGGGTGAAAATGTGACTCAGCCAAGGGAGAATAGAAAAACCAACTCATTCAATGACTTTATATTTAATGTTGAATTCCGTGTTTATATCTGTATAATAAAAACATGGTTTTAGTTAGGGTGGGATAGGCAGATCCTTCATGGAAGTATATTCTCATTGGAGAGATATTCACCCTGAATCTAAAAAACTAGAATCTAGTGAAAAGTGGAAGTTTCCAAGTCAAGAAGGGATCATGAGAGAGAGGGGGTAGGGAAAACAGCAGGTACCCTACCATGGAAGGTCTCAGACGAGATTCTGACAAACAAATCACAAAGTTAAGAAACACAGTAATAGCTCTGTGTTTTACAGTGTTAATTACTTAAAATGTGAAACATTCTTCCTAAAATGACATCCCCACCATTGAAAGTAACTCAGATTGGTTGAAAATGTATCTAAGCAAATAACTTACAGTTGGATGTGTGTTTGCCTCCATTTTACTTATAAGAAAAGTAATTTTAAGAAATCTCTGCAGTTTTAGTTAACTATATAACTCAAGTAGCGCTTGGTCCATTTTGTGCTGAATCTGACTTGACTTTAGTCTTAGCTCTCATGAGCCCAGGGCCCCTCCGTGAACCTGTTTCCTGCCTGGATGTCTCCATTCCTTCCAGTGTGTTAATGTTCCCTTTTCTGTTTTTACTTTAATGTATTTGTCCTTAAAGAGCAACTGGCTCTTGCTCAAGCAAGGTCTGTGGCTGTCAGTTTTTCTCCCTATGGATAGAGTAACTCCCTTTAAATAGTCAAACACCTACCTCTCATAGATTTCACTTATACAAATTGATAGCCACCAAATTATATTTTTCTTTACCTAGCTTCCCGAATCCTATTGTTATAGATTTCAGTAATCTACTTGGGGGAAGAGGTAGTTGAAGCAGGATTTCTCTGTGTAACAGCCCTGGCTGTCCTGGGATTCAATTTGTAGATCTGGCTCACCTTGAACTCACAGAGATCCCTCTGGCTCTGCCTCCTGAGTGCTGGGATTAATGGTGTGTGCCACCAGTGCCCAGCAGATTTCAGTAATCTAATACTGTGGGAAATGGATGTTGTTTCATTACTTTTCATCTTTGTGATGGGCTTTTCTGGGGGACACAATACAATTCCTACATTTAGTTCAAGTACTGCTGTAGATGTCAGAGAAACTTGTAAATAGCAGCCTTGAAAAGGGGTTGGTTTAATGATTCATAGCAGTGTCCATACATGCAATGCCAGAGCTGTTACTTTGGGGGGTTTGCTTACTGGGTCACTTTAATTTTTCCAGTGAAAACTGGTGAGATAGAAAAAGCAGAAGTCCCTGTTGGTCTGGACGGCTCCACCTTCAATAGGAAATCCAAAAAGTGTTCCTGGCATGTGTGGTGTTGCTTAGCAACTCACCAAATAGACACTGTTTTCCTTCATTTCTCCCCATGGATTTATTTATCTAACAACATTGTAAGATAAACTTTTACCACTCAACATCATTAGCAGAAAGCCTGACATTTGGGACAGAAGGAG